TAAACCTTCCCAAGAACCATAGAAGCAATTCGACAAAAATTTCAAATCAACGGCTCGATAACTTTTCGAAATTATAGGATCTTTACAAACGAATATAAGAATTTTTTATATATTGTATATCGCAGATATAATCGTATATTCACTTTACTCGCTGCTTGACGCCAATTGGGAATACCTGGTATTTCCAACGGAGTAGAGGTCTTCCTCTTCCTCTGCTTCCACTGGTGGGTAATGAAACGAAAACTATCAGAGCTGGAGTTTTTTTAACCATCCGGACCAGGTAGCCGCTGTTTCTTGATTCGCTGAACTATATCAATGTCGCCGTATAACTCGTACAGCTCATCGTTTCATCGTCGACGATATTCGCCGTTGCCACTGCGCAAAGGACCATAAATCTTACGCAAAACATTTCTCTCGGAAGCCCCTGACGCTGACTCATCAGATGGTCATGCTTCCACACCGTATAGCAGGGCGCGTATGATGAGCGACTTGTAGAGTTTGGTTTTCGTTCGTTGAGAGAGGACTTTACTTTTCAATTGCCTACTCAGTCCAAAGTTGCACCCGTTGGCAATAGTGATTCCGCATTGGATTTTAAGGCTGACATGGTTCCTAAATTGGTGGGGTTTACCTACGACCTCGAAGTTATGACTGTCAACAGTGAGGCGGGAGCCGAGTCGCGACTGTTTGTGTGATGACAGAAGATATTTCGTCTTGTCTTCGTTCACTACCAGACCCATAGCGGCGTAGAAACGTACTGTCGAAGGCTGCTTTTAAATCGACGAAAAGGTGGTGTGTGTCGATCCTCTTTTCGCGGGTCTTTTCTAAGATTTAGCGCTTGGTGAATATCAGGTCAATGGTTGACTTACCAGGTCTAAAACCACACTCATAAGGTCCAATCAGTTTGTTGACGGTTGATTTTACTCTTTCACACAATAAGCTTTATAGGACCTTATATGCGATGATAAGATGTCAGGCATGCTATCATCCGATCGTATTTTGCACCTAATCAGTTCTTCACCGCCAAATTTGAATAGCAAAGCCGGTAATCCATCAGTCCTTGTTGTTTTTTTAGCAGGCGATTGCTATTCGAACTTCTTCAGAGTCGGATAATGGAACAACATTTCCATCAGCATCAATTGGAGTTTCGGGTGCATCTTCTCCGGGAGTTTCATTTTCACTGCCATTCCGCTGGCTGAAGAAGTATTCCCTCCATAACTAGCTCACCCCTCAGGGTCCTAAAAGAGTTTGCTGCGGTCTTGAAACCTTCCGTAAGTGGACGTATCTTTTCGTAACATTTTTGAGTATTACCCTTGTTGGCCAGATTATCAAGCTCCTCATACTCACGCATTTCGGCCTCTTTTCTATTTTTTCCTACAAATTCGTCTTGCTTCCCTCTTCAGTGCTCGGTATCTAGCCCACTCCGCACGTATTATGGTCGATAGCAAGGTTGCAAGGTAGGCACTCAGTTTTCTCTCCACTGCGACATGGCAGTCCTCATCGTGACCTTTCCGAAACTCAACAGTTTCATTTGCAGCTGTACCTAGGGAGTTTGCAATGCCATCCCTCCGTTCCCTTATACCTCTGGGCAGTCTGTTAGGTTTGCAGCTTTTCTTTGCCCACGCTGAAGTAAAAATCGATTGGGACAAATGTGACATCTTGAATGATGCATCGCACATAAATACTTTATAGGCGCTCATACAGAGCGCAACATATAATATTTCTCTTTCATCGGAACGTGTAAATTCATGACTGAAGAGCTTCGCTTTGATAGGGATTATGACGAGGCGTTCATTCAGAGGGTTCGCCGCTTAGACGACACTTGATCTAAGCTCACACCTGCTGAGTCAACCATATATCAGCGGAATAACAATCAAAAACTTTCCCCAACCCAAACTGCATGGGTCCAGCGACCATGAAAATTCCTCTTCTTTAAAAATATATTGCTCATCATGCTCACTCCACATTTCGCTGTAGAAAAATTATTTGCAATATTTGTCAAATACCTACATGTATGTGCTTAAAATTTGGTCCTAATGGAAATTAATGAATAGCAAATAGCCAAAACTAAATACCAAATGCACACTATTGGTACAAATTGTGTACATATAAATATATATATACTACATTTGGGACGTCACACTTGATGCATACAAACCAGATGCATTTATTTATTTATTTTTTTCATTTTTTATTTTCATTTATTTCCTCCTTTTTTTGCATCATACTCTGAAACGGGCCGAAACCTGTGCGAAACATTGAAAAAGTTGCGTAACGTATGCTGTCATGCTATAACAAAGCATTGTATGTATGTGTACAGTTGCGGCAACTGAAGTGAACTGTAAATATTGACCACCAAAATAAGTAAAAGCTAAAGAGCGGAACTCAACAAATCGAGGCGAAATTTTCAAAGAAAATCTCGTATTAACAGCGTGACATACAAGCGATTAGGTATTCAACACTGAGATGACACCTCAAATTTTGGGGGCATCGTGTGCAAAGATGAACACATTTTTAACTATGGTATGTATGTACGTGTGTATTACGTACGTGCGTATGTTGGCTTACACGTTTAGTTATTTACTTCTTTTTTTTTCTATTATTTTGATATGCTTTTTTTGATTTGTTGGTATGTATGTACGTACTGTGGGTACGCATGTATGTATGTATACTTGTGCTTACAGGGCACCTACTTATTAGCATTACAACAACATTTTTTCCGGTATTCGTAACAAGTACTACAAACTATGCAGGAATAATAAACCAACTGTTGAAAATTAAAAACACCGCCAAATAGTATATATTGTATATCAATGTAAATATGTATTTAGGTATATGCCATCATTTGTATTTATATTTTTAATTCAAAATCTAGTATGCATACTTATGTAGATATATGTATGTATTAAAATTTTAAAATTTTCAACACCCATATATGCCAGCTCATACATAGTAAATACCTAAGTACTTAACAACACAAAACTCATTTGAAGGGTTATATGGGTTTATTCGGGAAATAATTCTATATTCAAGAATATTTTTTTAATATAAGAAGTAAAATATTTAATACAAACCATTCACTGTCTAATGCTTAAAACGAAAATTTGAAAAAGAATTTCAGAAATTTCCAATGGAAAATGTTCTTAACACCGCCATTGTGACATTGTGACGTCATTTACGGTAATTCTTCGGTAATAAGGTACATCTGCGTTGACAGTACAACTCATAGCAGGATCATGCGAAGTGAAAAAAACTGTATTTTAAACTAGAATTTGAACGAAAAAAGAATAAAAAAGTGAAAAAAGGATTTTTGGCAAAAAGAAAAAATTCTTGAAATTTGCTCAAATATTTTTATATCTTTCATGGTATGATAACTTTACTTCAAAGTATGTATGTAAGTATCAGAAGGTTGAAATTCAAACAGAACGATTTATCATGACGCGTTGAGTTTATTTAACAAAATGCACTGGTTCATTTACGGAATCGTTTTGTCGGATCTAACTATATAATATATGTAAAGTAGGAAGTTGGCAACCCTAGAGACAACATGAGAAGTAAACGAAAGAATAAATGAAACGTGAAGAAGTAAGTGAAGGGGTAAAGAAGAGGAGTCAGTCGGTCGCAGAGTTTCAGTCGGTCGCAGAGTTTCAGTTAACGAGGTCGTCAAGTTCACAGTAGAATAATAAGTTGTCCTTCGAAAATTCCAGAACGTTGCTAAATTCCAATAACTAAGTCGCCAAGTCGTCAGTTAGATCCAATGCTGTATTACTCTTCAATCAACAATATTTAACATCTTCAACTACTATTACATTTCTTTGTATTAAATCAAATAACCAAATAACTTAAATATAATAAAACATTTGATTAACATACATTGTTACATCTTATATATATACCTTATATTTTTAATAAATTTGCAAAAAAAAAAATCTCCCAAGAAAGTGAAATTTGGTGCTCTACATCGTATATACAAATAAATATTGACAATGAAAATAATTAAAATCGTATGGCCCCCACCAATTACTTTTTTACATATAACAGTTAATATGTAACCTCTACAAAAAATACTATAAATTTGATATATTCACGAAATGAAAGAAAGCACGCAATTCTTCTGTCTTGTTTGTTTAATAGTTGCTATTAATAAAAAAAACCAAAGCTTTCTTCCATCAAACTCGCTTGAGAAGTTTTCGAGAACTTTTCACGACCGACTTCGAGAAAATTTTTAAGCGCTGCGCCCACCTACCTTTGAGCGCACACCTTTCCAATGCTGCTGTTGTAGAAATTAAAAAAAATAATACATAAATAAAGTCGATTTGCTGCAACTCCTGTATTCAAACTCTTCACTCACATATTTTTTCTCTGCATTTCTTCGGAAGAGACAATCAGCCAAAAAAGTTTATCTTGTCTTGTGCATGTATGTATGTGCATATATTACATCTAAAAAATTTTTCAAGTTTTTGCAAATACAATTCATTTGAATTTAATTGGCTTTTCTCAGCCAATTCAACTCTTTTACAGTAATTGAGTATTGAAATTTTTTAGCTTAAGAGTCACGTACTGAAACAAACCTAAACTTATTTTCCTTCAAAGTTTTTTAATAATTTAATTGTTTAATTTTCTATTTATTTATTTTTTTTTTTTTGTTTTTCGGCACTCTGATTTTGGACTTCTTATTAATATTTTTAAAGTCAGCCATCACCACCATATGTTAGTATAACAACAGTAAACTCCATTCAAAAAATCTACTGAATATTGGACACATTTCATGCAGTCACACCACACATACATGCGTATGTATATACAGAAATAATGGCAAAGAAAAAGCATGTGACAATATTCAAAATTAACTCAAAACTCAATGCAAATTGAGCGAATGGTCACCGTTGGAGGCCAAACGACATAATTGTGTTGCACTCACCATGCTGGCTCTCACCAATAATACACCACACCAACTTTAACTCAAGGAGTACATATATAAAGCAGAGTGGCATATAAAATTTCATGTCATTTTAAAATATACGGCTCGTACGTAGATAACAAATAATAGTTGTCGACTACTGTGTGCTTTGGTGCTGGTGCTCGCGGTTGATTATAACGAAAACGAAAGTGTAAAATATAAAATATATTAAACAATAAAAAAAAACATCTAAATAATAAAGTGTCAAAATGAAGGCGTTCGTAGTAGCCGGTATTTGCTTGCTAAGCATTGTTAGTTTAAGTTCTGCACAATTCTCAAATGGACGTGTTTTGGATCCACCAAATCCACAATTATGTGCACAAAGGATTATTCACGAAAAGACACCCGATGGCAAAGGGTGAGTATTGGTTATAGTCACACTGCAGCGATACCGCTAAAAATCGTTTAAAAATAAAACTTAAAAAAGCCAAACTATAAAAGGCAAATGTATAAACATATGAGTAATTATTAATGTGGAAATGAAAGTGCAATAATTATGCTAAATTTTCCGAAAACATTTTTTTAACTATCACTAAGTGCTTCAAGAAACTTTTTATTCAAAAGACTCACAATTGTAATTAAAAAGAAAAAATGTTTTAAAATAATATGTAATATGTACTAATAATATGTAATTTTAACTATTCGCAAGTAATTTAAATAAAAACGTACATATATATTTCTTAAAAATTTAATTGATTACATTATTAAAATAATGAAAAAGTCATAAAAAGGTCTAAAAATTTAGATAAAGATCAAAGTAGGGTTCGCAGTCAATTTGTTTATATAAAATATTTTTTTATAAATGCATATAATTGGCGTCTTGTAACCGCTGAAGCGATTTTGTGCCCAGCTCCTCCTACAATGTGTGGTGTGCGCCTAGATGTTTTCCAAAAAAATAGAGAAACCATCAATTTATACTAAACTACCTCCGAACAGTCAATCCTTTTCTACAAGGAGCTTTTATTTCATGTCAGAAATACTTTCGATTGGCTTAATATTCCTGCTAGGGAGCGACCCAAATTAGAAAATTTAATTTTAATAATTTTGTATGTAGGTCGAGCCAGGATTGGGACACTGGCCTTCCAAATAGAAGAATGCAATGCTAACCCCTTGTCTACTGCGGTCAACATTTCATATATTGTCTTTAATAGATAGATTTATTCTAAAATTCAACTGAACTGTATGCAATTGAATGCTCGTCTATGTTCGTTATTGTCCGTTACGCAAGCTTCGTCCAATCAGTGTTCCCATTAATATAGTGCGGAGATGCACTTATGAGAGTTTCACTTATTATTCGTTTCCATTTTTTTTAATTTATTTTAAAAAAAGTTAATAAAAAATAATTTTAATAAAAAAAATAATAATTTAAATTTATGTTTTTAATGCAATGTAAAAAATATAAACTAACCGTTTTGAAAAAAAAATATTTTAAATCAGAATAATTCGATATCGGTAATTTACTTAAACTGAGACAAACAAGAAATCTTTATTTTAATTTTAATTGATTAATTTCAATTTATCATTCAAAACGTCAGGCATATTATAGTTCTTTGGAAATTTTCGAAACGACAAATTGATTTTATTGTTAATATAAAGATATATACATATAATATATTTATTTTAACCGTAAATACACATATACGTATACTCGTATGTAGGTCCTCTAGCTAGGTTTTTTTTTGAATTCTTTGCTAAAAGTCATCTGTGATAGTTTCGTCATTTTAAAAAACAAATACCTGGAAAGTTGAGTAACCTTAACATAAGGTTTAAAAGTACACAAATAAAATTGATAACTTTTTTTACCCACATATACATATAATCCATAATTTGTTATTTCTTTTCTTTTAGCTACTTCTTCTCGTGGCGTGACCCACAGTTGAAGGGTGTCGAAGAAGACTGGTTGACAGGCAGAAATTTCTGTCGCAGACGTTGCATGGACTTAGTATCGTTGGAAACAAGCTTGGAAAATGAATGGATCAAACAGCGCGTGGTAAATGAAAATGTAAGTAATTGATAAACGAAACGATATTTATTTATAACCTGTGGGCAAAAATTATTTTATTAGAAATAAATTTTATGAAAATTTAAAAATAATTAATTTCTTAAAAATCGCCTCAGCTGTGAACTCGCAGACATTGCTAGTTTACATATATTTCTAAAAAGAAAATATTAGCTTTTCGTCGAAAACCTTTCAGTGTCGATTTCAAATTTGTAAATCTTCTGCTTAAAAGCCCAATTAGCCATTTTGCATACCTTCCAGCCGTACCACCCGACTGGAAGAAGCATATGTGGCTACAAGTTATCGACAGCGATGAAATGTTGCCAGCCGCCAGTAAAACCAATTTCACAATTTATGTGTATAAATAACAATTTCACAATTTATATATATATATATATAAATATATAATATATATTGTAATACATAATTAATGACAAGTTCAGCATTAATTTATTTTGGAGAATATTGCATTTACTTAGGTCATTTCAAATTCATTTAGAAAAGGTTCTACTAGCAACCTTGTACGCTAGTGGGAAATCAGCTGAATCGATTCTATGGGAAAAATCAAATCGCTGGCTTCACGCGAAGCCAATCATTATTTAGGTAATATATAAATTTGCACAACATGTAAATATCGTTCTGGAGTTATGCTGAAACTACCAACCTTACAAACCTACCCTCCATAGCAATCTATCTTATGAGGGCGCCATGTAAATGAGCGCCTGATAAGTAAAGAGTTAGAACCGCTTGTCGATATCGCTACTGACGGCTGTCCCGCAGAAAATACTAGTATTTGTATATTGTATTACAGTAGGGTGTTATGGTTGTGTGGTATGTAAGATGGGTACTTGCAGCATTAGTCAGTTCATTATAACGTCAGTAACGACATCGGCAAGCGGTTCTCACTTTTCACTCACCAGACGCTCTCATAAGATACTCGTAGGTAGTGACGGCTGTGTCGCTATGTTTTTGACTAATTGCAACAAACTTTTTTAAATATCTTCACATATTACTTAAAACAAAAGGAAATTTAGTTTTAATTTAAAGAAAAGTATAGAATTTCTCTTTTGCATGACTCACACAAAACGACCTCAAGAAAAAAAAAATACTAACATTTTCGGCGCTTCTGCTTGCAAAACTATTTAAAGAAATTACAACATAATATCTGCAAATACAACGATATATAAATGCAAATAACTGCGAAATGTCTAGTCTATTTAAGCGAAAGAAAAAACCTATGGTAACGAACTTGTAAATTATATTCATTTCACGCAAATGCCACAACTAGTCAAATTGTGTAGTTAAATTTGCAACTAAAAGCATTTCGCACTTAACAAAAGTAAAAGTTTGTATGTAAATAAAATGTTTTGTGGAAAGTGAAACCCAGTTTGCAGTGTAAGCAAACAAACACTTAAATAAATAAATAGCATAATATAATATAATGGCCACACACGAGCGTTTATAATTTGCTTGTCGAAATTCACCATTGAGGTGGCACATAGAGCTATACATATAAGCTGTCAACGAATTTAGTTGTAAAGTTTTTTTTTTTGTAAATATTTTGATAGTAAAAAACAGTGTCAATTATATATTGTGTACAACAAATTTATATGATATTTTATTATTTTTTTTTAGTTTTTATGTGTATTACACAAAAAGTTGCTTATAAATAACAAAATACTTCTCATTTAGCCTTCCATTTATTTTTAACATTTGACTTTTCACTTCAAAATTTCGTTTTATTCGTCACTGCGTTTTTTATACAAACATTTCACCTTATACATTTAACAGTATTATTTATTAGTTTATTGCTTTTTTAATGTTGCTATACTTCATTCATACAAATTTGTCTCATAATTTTATTTAATTATATAGACGCGCGTGAATTTAAAGTGTTAATTATTCATAAATGTCAAAATTTTTTGAAAAGGTTAAACGTGAATTTAGTTAATAGAGTCACACTTAGCTAGTTAAAGACATTTTAATGTATATCCCAAAGTTAAGTTCATACCAAATGTGGGTCATAATTTAACAAATATGCCAAAAGTTCAGTTTGGTTCAAAAACGTTTAAAGTGTTTTACTTTTCAAAGTATCATTAAAATTGTACAAGTGCAGGGAATTTAAAAATGACTTTTAAGGTCACTAATGAAGGGTGCTTTTATTAAACATGTGGTTTCCAAGCAGAATTAAAATGCATAAAACTGTACGTTATGGCATTCATCGTTCTGGTTAAAGCTTCGCCACATCAATATTCTACAATTTAGTCACGAAAAATCCATTAATCATGACTCTTTTGGATTACTAAATTGCCTGTTATATTAAGGCCGTCTTCATTTTTGAAGAAATATACAATAGAGCAATGATTCTTTCAGCCCTTAATGGGCACCAAACAGTGACTTTTTGAGGGTATAATGGCATCTCAATAACGTACCCATTCAGCCAAAAGTAAGCTTTCTATCCGAACAAAATTTGATTATGCAAATTGGCACTGGTGACCAGCTGTTTTGGCCCATTCATCGAATATACGACGCTCTTAATGGTCGCTCGGCTTAAATTTTTGCAAGAAATTATGTAAGCCCGCAAATCGAGATCCTTCCGCAAAATCTTCCATAAGTGTATAGGAACAGATACCATTGTTGCCCGATGGCCGTTGGACTTGTTCCAGTCTTCTTCTATGCCACAGCAGCACTGTTTATAATGAACTTACTTACTCTAGAACGATGTGTGAAAATCATGCAAACTTAATCGCCTGGCAGAGTTGGTACTTCGAGCAACCACTGATTTCGCACCACGGTTACTCTAGTGAACAATACGCATGAACAAGCAATGCGTATTGTTCACTAGAGTAACCGTGGTGCGAAATCAGTGGTTGCTCGAAGTACCAACTCTGCCAGGCGATTAAGTTTGCATGATTTTCACACATCGTTCTAGAGTAAGTAAGTTCATTATAAAATAACAAACCAAACTGAGTATAAATCAAGTAACGATTGTGGAAAATAGCAGTTTATTTTTAATCCGGTTACCCCACGAAAAGAAAGAAAGGTAGTTCTGACCAGAGTTAAGGACTTCTCATAAAAATCTAACAGCCATTTTGGAAATTTAAGAAATGCTGGTTTCTCTATTTAGTAGAAAACTTTCAATACAATGCTTTTTTATTAAACATTATACTACTAAAATCATAAAAATCATATTATATAAAATATTTAAAATAATTTCATATATGTATCTAGGTATGTATAATACCGTATATTGTTTTCATTTTTTCGTCTGACAATTAGCTAAAACGCTAAAGTCATATTAACCACTGTAAAAACATACTGAAAAAAAATATTTATTTTTTCTTCTACAAAGTTCAATGTGAAAATTAGTTTTGGTCCCGGCAACAATAAGTCCATACAGTTCATATGGCGAGAAAATGTACAAATTATAAAGAAAACAATTATCTGGTACCAAGTAGTGTTAGTCAGATGGAATAATGGCCGATGCATGCAAAGTAGTGTCAAAAACGTATTCATAACGGTATATGCGATTATTCACTTATATCATAACACATGTGTTTTGTTCACTAGAGCTTTACATATATCTTACGTATAATGTATGATACACATATGTATATGTGTATATATGTACTACACATTGATTGGGGAAAAACTAATTTTCCATATTAATAAATAAACTTGGCGTAACCGCTAAGCAATTCACATGCATATGTATGTATGCATGCAAATAAAGTGTTATGCTTAATTGAGTAGTGAGGATACACGTAAAATGTTGCAATTTAATTGAAATTAAAGAAAAAAAATATGCTAAACGTATGATGCAGTGCGGAATTAATGCAAATTTTCGTAATGTTACAGTGCAAAAAGGAAGTAAGAGCGAAAAATCATAAAATACATACATAATTGAAAGTAATAAGGAATTAATACGTTTTTTTTTTGTGCACAACCTAATGCTGTTGAAAACTCTTGGGACGTAATTTATTATTCATGTGGACTTATCACAGGACTTATGTAGGTATATACATATACATATGTTAAAGAAAAAAAGCATATTTTGAGCTGCATTTACATACTTTGTTTTGAAAGCAAGTTTAATAAATAAATAAATAAATAAATAAATACCAAAAGACTTTTTTCCCTAAAATTAATCAATTTATCTTTTACTCTAAATTTTTTTTTTTGACAAATTGACCTGTTTCAATAAAACTTATGTAAATAAAGAAAATTAATAAAATTGAAATAGTTTAAATTAACAAGGCTCCTTTATAGATTTGTCACATAGCAGCATTAAAACAATGCTTCAAGCTTGAGAATATCAACTCTTTGCCAATTCAGTCATACCTTAATTGTGTTTACACTCATGTTAAATATCTGTCTATGCGTGCAACCCTGTGCAGCAGCCATAATATTCACCAAAGGATGTCGCTGCTGTTTATACATATACTTATGCGTGACTTTTCAAATTTATGGCAGCAGTCCTGTTAACCCGGTTTCAGATTTTCACCTTATATAAAGATCTTCTAAAAGCCATTTGCCGTTCTTATGTCCTCTTTATTAGTTAGTTTAGCAACCGAAAAGGTTTAAGTTAAATTAAATTTTTATGTAAATAAATTCCGGCGCAGTATTCGTATGGTTAGCACTGCGTACTTTCATTCGGAAGGAGCTCGGCCGAAAATCGCTAAAGCGATTACCAAACGTCAATTATATATATATATATGTACATAAATAGATTCTTATTGAATTTTTTAATTCAAAACTTTCATTGTGAATACTTAGCAAAAAAAAAAGAGCATGTGACTGAATGACCGAATTGTCGCAAAGTGGATATTTTAAAGGTTTGAAATAATAAAAATAACCACCTTTTAATGCAACTATTTCTTCGAGTCATACCAATGTAATACTGTAGTGGTGAGAATTGTAGTTTTTGTTAACATATTTATAAAATATTAATAATAAATACCAATTCCTAATCCCAGCATGTAAATTTATGCATATAAAGTCGTATTTTAAACAAACCGAAAAAATCAAATCTCTAAAATTATTTAACAAAAAAAGTGTGAACCTATGCATTTTTTCTCCCAAGGGCATAATCCGAAAGAAAAGATTTTAATAACGGTAAATTTGTGTGTTTTCCGCTTGTATTCACATGATATTTGTATTGTTCGTAAGTTCTGTCATGTTGTTATATACTCCCAACACTCATTTGTCATAACTTTAACCACCACCAACAATGTCAACGTATTTTAAGACACACACAAACATTCAGCAAAATAAAAAAAATAAAAAAAAATATTAAAAAAATAAAAGCTATGCCTGCACTCACTTTCTTCATAATTGGTGTCACCACAATAGGGCTTGCTGTTGCCCACTGCCATTTGTCACTCTTACAACACTGACAAACCAAACAAAACAATGCTTAATCTATGTGTGTATGTATATATGTATGTATGTATGTACGCTACCAATACCACTTTTGTCATAATCATTTCCGCACTTCTCCACACCTGATTGGCCCTTTAATTCAACACTACTTTTTTTTCTGTGTTTGTGCTTAAACTGTTATTATTACTGTTGTATGTTGTTGTAATGCAGGACAGACGAAGAGAAAGCTTAAAAGTAAATATTTACATATTATGGTTAAGTTTACATGCCACTGAGTAACTGTGGTGTAATGCGATTGAAGACAATGTCAATGGTAGGTATTGACGGCACAACAGACAATAACAAAAGAAATACTTAAACTTGCATTGAAGTGCATTCACATAAAAATGCAAATGTATATGTCATATACGATTTTTGTAGTTACTCCTATTAAGTTCGCATACAAACTTTTTTATTTGAATGTTTTCATGATGTGTATATACGTGTAGATATATAAATGTGGGAAATTCATAAATACAATGCTTATAAATGACACTCAAAAAATTTAAGTTATGTATCATACTTTGTGTTATTTCACTTCTTGTCTCTTGTTTGACAATAATGTGACAGTTAACATTATTAACTATGCCACTTTCCATCGCCAACTCGTACAATTAGCGTTGTTTGGCGCAAAAGTCACCGAACACTTTAAGCCTATGTGTGTATCGAAAAATGGGCATGCCTATATGTATTTATGGTAAATGTTCATATGGACGTTTGGCCGGTAGAAATCGATGTCATGCCTTAACGTGGTGACACACACAGGCTTTTTTTATTTTTCATTTGTAAATGAAATTTTGGGAAATTGATCGCTTTTAATATACATTTTTAATATTATTTTAATAAGGAAGAAGAGCCGTCTACCGCCTTTCATGACCCTATCATACTTATGGTATTTCATTATAGGATTAAATATTAATTCTCATAAATAAAAAATTAGCGGAAGGAGACGTTTTTTCATCCTTTTTGTACGTCAATGTTAATGACCCAAAATTTCACGCTACACATGTTTTGATAATTTACAGTACCAATGTGTGGTTAATTACATACATTTGTATGTCTAGAAACCAAATTACAGGCAGCTAGATGCTTTATGAACGGAATTATGACTCACAACCTTAAATCTGGAAAATCGGTCGTATAAGAATGTTTTTTTAGAGGTGCTTTTCAATGAGACAAAACTCATTTTGGAGTTGGTACAGTCAAAAAGACCAGGCTTTACGTGATTTACACTCAGTTTGATTTGCCATTTCATAATAAACAGACTTATGCCGGAACAACGCTTGCCCTAAAACGAGATGGCCACTGATCCCAATTTCCATAAGAAAATTTTGATTTGGGTACGGTAAAATTTACGCTTTTGTAGTATTGTTAATCTACAAGCCATGATTAAGACGCCTTTACATCCTCAAAAAGTAACTTTTTATAAAGGATATTATTATTCCATATTTCTACAAAAATGAAGCCGGCCTTAGTTACATAGTCATTGAAGAATACTTTATAGCCATGTTTAATGGCTTTTTCGTGACCGAATTGTAGCATATTGATGTGGAAGACCTTTGCTGCCAACAACACGTTAAGCGGATTTTTTGTTTGACTATAAGAAGTCTAATAAAGTATTAATTTTGATGGGTATATCTCTTTTCCTTCTGATACGTACATACTTCGGACCAATATACTATTCATGTACATGAAAGGCAAAAAAGGTAATTTCTTGCTTCCAAACACATTGTAATTGTGCGAAGTTGTCTGTGAAGTTCTTTACTTAAGTCTTTTGAATATTACATGTAAATTGCGATATAATGCGCCAATATTTCTGCTACTACCGTTCGGAAGACCAGGGTTCGTGTCCTTATCCGATCAACATCCAAACATATAGAAAATTAATTTGTCTAATTCTGTTCCTAGGAAAGGAATATCGAGCCTTCCGAGTGCATTTCTGTCCTGAAATTGTTTATTCGAACAGTTTTCATATGTTGCTGAATATACCTAACCTCATTTCCTCTCATATAAAAATCTTATAACAGTTTGAAAAAATCCTTTGATCTCCAAAAATCTCCGATTGACTTAAAATTTCGTCAGATTGCTTCTATGATTCATGGGAAGGTTTTTACGAAACAAAAAAAATGTTTTTCGGGAAGTAGCTTTTTGCTTAGATTAACAGGAAGTCTATACATCTCTCCGGGAAATGGATCAAAGACTAAACTATTCAAAAAAAAATTTGTTTATGGTTCGGCTTATTTGAAATTCGGTGAATAGGTGCCTTTTTGCTTAGATGAGCAGGAAAACGATTCCTCTCTCCGGCAAGTGGACCAATGTCAATGGTTAAACCAAAAAAACTTGTATTCCTGCAAGTGTTGAGTAAATAAAGTTATGATAAAAAGATATCCCATGATTAATTTTTCATACATTCAATGAGTATGTGCGACAGCGAAGTGTTGCGGGGTACAGATAGTTTTTTTAATACATACTTTTAAAATAAAATTAAAATATTTTCGAATGAATTTTTAATTATATTGTGTATATATATGTATTTATAACTCATTACATACATACTCCATTGATCGAGCCTTTTAAATACACTTTCCTACTCATCTTATAATAATTACAATAATAAAAAAAAATTATAATATATCCAACCCTATCTTACCATTTCAGGTGAAATACATCTGGACTAGTGGTCGTCTGTGTGACTTCAAGGGTTGTGAACGTGCCGATTTGCAGCCCACGAACGTCAATGGTTGGTTCTGGACAGCTACTCTGCAAAAATTAGCGCCAACCTCTGAGCGTTCGCAGGGTGATTGGTCACCAACTGGTGGTATCGGTCTGCCCCAGCCTGATAACCGTGAATACAAACAGAACGGTGCGCCTGAAAATTGCTTAGCTTTGTTGAACCAATTCTACAATGATGGTGTCAACTGGCACGATGTTGCCTGTCATCACAAGAAACCGTTTGTATGTGAAGAGAACGATGCCCTATTGAAGTATGTGCGTTACACAAATCCCAACTTGCGCATTTAAAAGTGATTAAAAACAAATCGTTGCATATAAATTTAAATAATAAGAGATGGCAGCTGTACTACTAGCAATTGCTGACGTGAAACCAAAAAAAAATTCTATCAAATAATCTTTTAATCTATTAGGGCAGATACTCGTAGGAGTAATGCAAACTTTCACTCTATCTTGTTTGCACATGCTTAACTGTGCTGTGTTCTCTTTTATATTCACTTCATAGCATGAAGGTTCAAATGTATGTATGTGCATATCCCAAATCACAAATATTTATGTACTTATGAAACAGTGATCTTTTAAAGCTTTTGAACTTTCGAAATATTCCGACACTTTATTACAATTATATCTCTCATTGTTTAGCTAAATAATATTTTTGTATTAATTTATGATTATAATAAATATATATACATATATGTATACATATATGTCAAAATCGAAATATATTTAAACACTGTTTTCATTCCTTTATAGAGCGCACACCACCACGCAAATAAAAAAGATTTGTCTAATAGATCTTAAATTTCATATATCGTTTTAAATGTGGATTATTATTGAATTTGATGTACCCCTCAAAGCGGTTCGAGGCTTCCGACAGGGTAACTCTTTATGAAGTGGTTTTTATAATCTTTTGCTACAAAAAAAATCATACGATCTGCAGAGCTGAATAGAGAAGGTAACACCTTCTATAAGACCGTATAGCGGTTTTGGCCTCAACAACTGCGCCGTGAAATCTGCTTACTCCAGACTGCATACGGAAGCAAAGCGAATATGTCTGTTAGTGAACGAAGACGAAATATCTTTTGTCTTCAAACGAACATTTATCGCATTCCCGGCTCGGCTCCCACGCATAATCACTCGTGCCAACAGGTTCTATTTCGTACTCAGTAGTAAATTGAAAAGTACTCACTCGCCGAACAAACTCTACAAGTCTATCGTGTTCTCGTCCTGCTACGTGGTGCGGAGACATGAATAATGGCAAGTGATGAGTCGGTGTTAGGAGTTTTTGAGAGAAATGGTTTGAGTAAAATTTATGGTATTCTGGGCAAATACCGCAGACGATGGAGCAATGAGCATATATGACAATATTGACATAGTTCAACACTCAAGTTTTAAAAGTTTTCGATGCCGACCTCCACTTGGGATTTCCAATTGCGCGCTATTGTTGACGCAGTTATAATTGGGGGGAAAAACCGAAGCTAATTTCCCTGCTTTTTTTTTCTAAACTGGGGGCAACAGACTCTTCCTCTCCTTCACCCTTCAGCTATGGCAAAAATAATTGAAGCGATAGGCCATTATTTTCCCCAAAAGCTCCATTAAACTGTGACCTGGTATTAGTTATGCAGTTATGCTAATGGAGTGTGGGTATAGAAGCATAAGACGTATTGATCTTTTCGGGTCCAATTTTGGCAAAATATATATAAGGCCACCCTTATCATATATTTTGCCGTGGAGAAATATAAACCTGCATCGCGTGTATGGCTAAGTGTGGATACAAGAATTCGATCTCTCGCAAGTTCGTCTGCCATGAAATTGCCTGGAATGATCCTGTGTCCAGATACCCAGGCCACTGTCATGATACATTTAATCGAGGGTTTACGATCGTATTTAGATTTCTTCAATATTTCAAAGCCACTTTGACATTGTTACACTGTAGAGATCTAATGGCGGCTTGACTGTCGAAATATATCATAAGTGATCATTCTGCCACTGTAGATTTAAGCAGCCACTCGGAGGCTCCCATTATTGCGAAGAGTTCTGATTGGAAGACGCCGCCCCTTTAGAGCCGATAGCAGATAGGGCTTTAGTGTTGCGTTGGAAGTTAAAAGGGGAGATATGTGTTGATTTAGACAGAAAAGGAGAGAAAGAGAGTATTAGAATATATAATATTAGAAAAACAAAAGAAGAGGGGAATAAAAATCAGGTTATATTGGGTTTGGAGGGAGGGCTCAAAGTAAAGCCCTTTTAAGCTGCACGAAGAGTTAAAAGGCTTCCAGAAGGCCTAAAATATAATCATTTGGCTCATGGACAATACTTAAGAGCTAACTGCTAATTCATAGTGATATCCCAGATAGACATGTTGGGGTTATTATGTTCTACTAGATAACGTGTCCGTACTCTAAAATCCCTATTTATTTCTTTACTATAATTTCTCATAAATTAATCAATTTTTTTAAAGATAGTAAAGAACAGTTGCCATCATTATCATTTTTAGCAAATATGGCAGCACTTAATCATCCCTTTCATGCCGCATAAATTGTCAAAATAAAACTTGTAAATATTTTAGAATTGGATTTGTTGTATTCATTAATTAATTAATATCCATATTATTACTGTTTAGAAATGGATGTCGGGGAATTACTTTCATTCAAGGTAAGAAGGATTTTTATATATTTCTTTTAAATTACACTTGCATTGCCATCACTACTCAGCCAGAACAAACGCCGAAGCGGCCGCATGAAGATGATGATGATTACTTGGTCAATGCCTCGGTTGATAGATCCAGTAGGGATATTAAGAAGGATGAAAAATCCAAACGGATGCGTCGCATCGAACAAGCTAAAGAATCTGCCGATTTTAACAAGCCAGACCTTCCAACTTTGGACTCATTTTTTGGTCCCGAACTTACAGAAGAAGAGCGATTGAATATATTGAACTACGTCGAAAATGAAGATGTAGAAGGAGATGTGCTAGATGAAGTCGGGTTGAAAAAATTATTGCTAGTTTTTGAGAAACGCAACTTGAAAAATCAAGAAATGAGAATCAAATATCCAGATAACCCGGAGAAGTTCATGGAATCAGAAGTTGATTTACACGCAGTCATACAAGAGTTGAAGGGAGTAGCAACTGTGCCAGATCTCTATCCAGTTTTGGTGGAATTACATGGCATTCCTAGTATATTAGAATTACTGGCACACCCTAATACAGACATTGCTGTTGCGATTGTGGATCTTCTACAAGAAGTTACCGATGTAGATATATTAGGTTAGAAATTATTGTAATTATTATTTTTTTATAATAACCATTTGCGTTATTTAACTACTTTAGGCGAGAGTAGCGAAGGGGCCGAAATTTTAATTGAAGCCCTACGTAAACAACAAGTATGTGCATTGTTAGTGCAAAATTTAGAACGTCTTAACGAAGAAGTAAAAGAAGAAGCTGATGGAGTGCACAACTCTCTGGCAATTGTGGAAAATTTAACAGAAATGCATAGCGAATTGGTACGCGAAGCAGCTGAGCAAGGTCTACTTGCGTGGCTACTAAAACGACTCAAACAAAAGTCACCCTTCGATCCAAATAAATTGTATTGCAGCGAAATACTATCTATACTTATTCAAACTAACAACGATAATCGTCTAATGCTTGGCACGATTGATGGCATTGACGTGTTATTACAACAGCTAGCTATATATAAAAGACATGATCCGTCCTCTACTGAAGAACAAGAATATATGGAGAATTTATTTAATTGCCTTTGCTCTGCTTTAATGGCCAAAGAAAATCGTGACCGTTTTCTTAAAGGTGAGGGCTTACAACTTATGAATTTGATGTTGCGCGAGAAAAAAATGTCACGAAACGGTTCATTAAAAGTCCTCGATCATGCAATGTCTGGGCCAGATGGTCGAGAAAATTGTAACAAATTCGTGGACATACTCGGCCTGCGTACGATTTTTCCACTATTTATGAAGACACCCAAACGCAATAAGAAACATCTATTATCAGCCGATGAACACGAAGAGCATGTTTGTTCTGTTATAGCCTCTATGCTGAGGAATTGTCGGGGGGCACAAAGACAAAGGCTACTTTCGAAATTCACTGAAAATGATCACGAGAAGGTAGACCGTTTACTAGAATTGCATCTAAAATATTTGGAGAAAGTTGAAACCGTTGATCGGGAAATTGATCAACAAGAAAAGGTATTTAGAAATCTCTCTCTCTCCCTCTCTCTCTCGTCAGTAAGAAGTTCAGGAACTAATCTAAATTAAATTTTTCCAGAACCCTGAAATTGATGAGGATGAGGAAGCAGAAAATAACTATATTAAACGTCTGACGGGGGGACTTTTTACGCTGCAACGCATCGACTATATAATTCTAGAAGTATCAGCTACTGCTGATACCGTGAAACAAAGAGTCGTACAGATTTTAAATTTGCGTGGTGCATCAATGAAAACTATACGAAATGTAATGCGAGGTTTGTATTCATTGATATCTACATATATTTAAAATCGCCTGAAATGACTATTGATTGCAGAATATGCTGGAAATTTGGGTGACGATGGTGATGTTGACTGGAAGGAACAAGAGCAATCCCATATTGTTTCATTGATCGATAGATTCTAGAATAATTGATTAGGAATATTTACTAAATAAAAAAGCATAACTTTCGATTTTCTGAAGGCAACAACTTGTTTACTCAAATAGTTTTTGTATAATTTTAAAACGAATACATACAATTTGCTGAATATAAAAAATGAGAGTATAACAATTCATTTTTCTTTCTTGTCACAAGTAAATTTTTTCTTGGGTTTGCAAATGATTTTGTCACCGCTGCTGCCGCTGCCACCTCCTTTGCCGTCATCTTTCGGATCAGTGCTTTTTCTGATTAATAATTGGAATTTAGATTTAGAATAAATAACAATCCATAATTTTGGTTATTAAAGAAATATATCGAGTATTCTGTTTAAAACAGGTGTTTCCAAATTGTTGCAAATTAAATTAATATAACAATGGTGTTTAATTATGTTTATGTAAAAATAACAATAAATGATATTAAAGATTTCTAAGTAAAATAAATAGTAAAACAAAAAAGAAAGTAGAGAGAAAATAATTTCGTGATTGCCTAGTTTGTAAGACTCGCGATGAGGTTCGATATATATTTAATGGCAACACGATATTGCGGATAGCTTAGCTTAAGATGTTCGTATTTTTGCTTAAGCTCAAGGTTTCGCTTATAAATAACTTTTGCAACCCATATTATTATAATTAATAATGTTGATAATCTCTCATGTGTCTTATGTACTGTACATAATTATCTACTTGATTTTGTGTTGGTGGTGTGAGATTGTGTAGCCAAAGATGGGCTGTAATCGTTTATTCAAATATATTAATTATCTACTTCACGCTGTCAGGAATCTCAAAGCTGACATCCATGTTCATTTCTCTCGCCAGATGTACGATTTGAGCCAAATGCACGGACAAATTGGCTGCCTCGTCCAAATCGTGACGTGGAATAATCCTCAAACCAGATTGGCGAATCAGTTCACGTGCTTCATTAACTTTTGTGCCCTAATAAAAATAATAAAAAATATATATTAATACCGAAATTACTTCAATTAACACTCGGCTCACTTACTTGTAATCTAACTACAATAGGCATTTTCATATTCAAATCCTTGGCAGCGGCAATAATACCCTCGGCTATAACATCACAACGCATAATACCACCGAAAATGTTGACCAAAATACAGTGAACTTTCGGGTCGGCAGTAATAATTTTGAAGGCTTCCTTTACAGCCTGAGCAGTGGCACCACCACCAACATCAAGGAAATTAGCTGGATCACCACCGTACAACTTAATTATATCCATAGTGGCCATGGCTAAACCTGCGCCGTTTACCATGCAACCAATGGTGCCGTCTAAAGCAATATAGTTCAAATCATATTTGGCAGCTTCCACCTCCTTGGGATCTTCTTGGGTCCAATCACGCAAGGCAAACAACTCCTTCTGGCGGAATTCAGCATTGTCATCAAAACGGAATTTGGCATCCAATGCGAAAACTAGGATTAAAAAATAATATTTTTTTTTTAAATAAAAAATTAAATAAAATCGTATTTTTAATATCATCACTACTTTCAGTAACACAAACAATGATTTCGTTCAAATAAACTTTAACTTAGACATTCATATTTGAATAAAATTTTTTTGAATTAATAGAATTTTACTACGCAAAAACCCACACTAGTGAGATTAGAACAGAAAACTTTATTGCATTAAAATTAAAATTTACTACTATATACATTTCTTTAGCTTTGCAACTCAACAATTAACAATTACAAATTTGACTACGGCAACAAATAAAATTTACAAGCTCTTTATTAAAGTTTAATTAATGAAAACGAAAAACATATTACTTACAGGAACCTGGTTATAAGGTGGCATTAGGAAAACAATTAAATTTATTTTCGCGGAATAATATTTGTATTCAAATTGATTGATGAATTAATATATATTTTTTTTTTATTTGTTAGTTACGGTTAATTAGAGGAAAGAAGTGAAATAAAGTTTTTTGAGTTACATCACTACAAGAAAACATAAAATACTTACATCCTTCGAGGGCATCCTCGGCATAAGGATTGATTTCGATAAGTAAAGCATCCTTCTTAACAAACAACTGATACATATTCATCAGCATTTTCACGGTTTCCTCTTCAAATTCTCCCAAGCCAACCGATTTAACAACTTTAGCTGCTTGATCTGGTGTTAATCCCAACTTAATATCAATTGGCTCATAAACAATAGCATCGGGATTCTCGGCAGCTACTTCTTCAATGTTAACACCACCTTGTGATGAAGCAATTATAACAGGACCCTTATAAAATTGAAATCAACGTTCGGTTACTATTTTCATTGAAAATATTTATAGTAGGGATACAAACATTAAATGCTCGCTCCATCATTACGGCAAAGTAGAATTCACGACGTGGGAATTTGCGCTCTGCAACCATAACGGAATTGCAAATACGGCCAGCAGCGCCAGTTTGTTTGGTAACTAAAAGTTGGTTAACCATTTTACCGGCAATTTCTTGAGCCTCAGTGGGACTGTGATAAGAAAAAAAGGAATATTCAAACATAAATTCCATATTATTATAATAGAGACACTTGCTTATTTATTACACGAACGCCACCCTTCAAGCCATTCTTAAAATGTCCTTTACCACGACCACCGGCTAAAACTTGCGCTTTCAATACAAGATTATTCGTGTCGAGTTTTGTTGCAATCTCTTTGGCTTCTTGACCGGATTTCGCAACGCCAAATCTGAAAAATAAATACCACATGAATAAGTGATTCACATCTGTCGATTTCTCAAACGTATGTAGGTATATACGTTTGTAAATAACATTTATCAAAAATAACACTAATTAATTTGCCAACACACTTTATGTGACGTACATTGTTTGCAATAAAGATAACCTTACGCCTTATCTTAATGGAACGTACAAATATGAACTTTCAATAATGATACTCAAAAAGATTAGCTATGAGAGCAATTATAGACTAATATTTCATTAATCGGAAATACTTAGTGCCTTTCCATCACAAGCTAAGTATGTAACACTGAAATTATTCTTATTAGTTTTTACACTAAAAGATTTTTCTTACAAGAAATGCTGCGAACAGAGATAGACCACATTAAAATTATTCGTTGCTTTTTAACGCTATTTGTTATATCAGTAGCTTACTTATTTACTAATGCACATAAGCTGTATTTAAAACAATGTCATATAAATACATATAACTACGTAAATCAGGCAAAGAGCAAAGTCTGAACAAACGATTATACTTTATTAGTATTTTTATAATTCGTGCTCATTACAATATTTAATAATAATATTTAAAAGTACATGTATATATGCAGTTGATAAGCCCCAATTTTTATAATAATTACTAGAGCACTGTAAACAAATCAATATTTTGTAACTTACTTTGGAGTGGGAATGCCAGCTTCATTTAATAAAGTGTATGATACATGCTCCTGAACATTAAGATTCCTTTTCTGTAAGCTTCCGCTGGTTGCCAGGGCAAGAATCTTAAAACAAGATATAATTTATAAGAAAAATTTATATATACCTTAATAAAATGTTTAATATTTTTTTATGCAAACTAATAAAAAATGTTTAAATTTGGTTGCATTTTATTTTTGACTTACAGGCTATATAAATATTTAATAAAATATGTATATAAGCCAGAATCAATTTGTTATGTCACTGATAAAGCCGAAGTCAGAAATTCTTTATCTTTCCTTGATCGGTGGTTTTAATCGTTGCATACGAATTTACCCACCTTCACCTTCAACTATTGTACGCACACGACTATCTCAACAATTATGTAAAAATTTGCAAGAAAAAAATTCCACAATACCTTTTGTCCAACCTTTGGATTCACTAATTCGTTTAATATACCCGTACGAGCCAATAGAGCAGCCATTTTACTAATTGTATACAATTTAAAAAAATATATTAAATAGAATGTAAAACTCGAAAATTATATGAGAATATAATTATTTAATTCGCACCCATAAAAATTGTCGACCAGCAAATAGATGAGAAAAAAACGAGTGACTAAATGACATAAATGGAAAAATTAATCAAATGCCAAATTCACAGCGCTGCCAAATTATAAAGGAAAATGACACTTAAGTCACATTGACACTTAAGAAAATAATAAAAAAAAGACCATTGTGGAAAATAAAAGACCTCATGTTTATTTAGGAAATTATTACAAAAAAACTGAATAGAATTTTAAATGATCATGTATTCCTGTACCCTTTATTAAAAATGTTTAAAACCAATATATTTGCTCTGGCCGACTTCAGCATATATACTCGATAAATTATAATCGATACAAAAAACAACATCAAATCACATTACTAATTTGTTTGGCAAAAATGTTGATATTTTTACGGAAGAGACGTTTTTAAATTAAATCCAATTGTTATATTAACTTAATGAAATACGCGAACTACTCAAGAATTGGAAATGACGTCAACAAGTACAGAAATCAACAATCCAACGAAGTGTTTTTTGTGTCGACGGAAAATCATGTCATCGCGGGATCAAAAACTTCTCGAAAGCAGTATATGTCCATCATCGAAGAAATCCTTCAAAGATGTGTTGTCATACTTAGCAATGCATGCAAATACTGAACTACATATTTCACGAGGGGAGTACGTTTGTTCCAAATGTCACTTGGATGTAGTTGATTACGATACTTACCTTATAAAAGCTCTCAAGAAGCAGCGAGCACTGCTCGGTTTAATAGAAAAAGCTGCCATGGATATTGACTCTGATTTCGACAATGAATTCAATTCAGATATGAGTGCTTTGGACGAGCTTACTGACGATCATTTTTTCGATGATGCGGAGATATCAGATACCGAAATAGCACAGACCATAGAGGATGCTATGGGACAAAAGTCCGAAGACCCATCTGCAAATCTAGGTAGAAGAAATCGTAAGATGAAGTGTGATTTCTGCGCAATGCAGTTTCATACTAAATCTGGGTTAAAGAAACACATAACAAATGCTCATAAAAAATTTAGTTGTGAAATATGTAGCTACAGTCATCGAAATGAGGACTATGTAATGTTACACATGAATACACACGATGGTCGAAATGAAAACCAATGTCGATTTTGTGAAAAAGAATTTTCTACAAAAATTAGTACCATTCGTCATATGGAAGTTCATTACAATTCCAAAAAGTACCAATGTGATAAGTGTGGACTTTGCTTCTCACAAACAACCGTACTGTACAATCACAAATTGCAACATGAAGCTGAAGAACAACCACTTCAGTGTGAGGTATGTTCACAAGTTTTCAAAACAAAGCGAACGTATCGCCACCATATGATTACACATCGTGCAGATCGCCCGCGTTACAATTGTGAATATTGCCCGAAAACATTTACTGAGAAATATACGCTTAAAGTTCACAAACGCACACATCCAGAAGCGATAGGATCCAGCGATGTTAATCAAGGAAAAGAACAACTACAAAATACACCGAAAGAAGCTGAGGTTCCAACGAAGTTACAATCACAGGAAATGAAATTCAATTGTATAATTTGCGAACAAATATTTACAGCAAAGGATCACTTGAATAAGCATATGGAAAAGGAACACGACGTTATACTCAAGTCTTTGACAATGAACAATTTCTCTGAATTTGATGTGGTTGATGATGAATCCAAGAAACCCTGCCATATATGTGGGCAATTGTTCAATGCACAAGCGAACTTAGATTACCACCTAAAATATGTACATACAAGTACATTTTAAAAATAGATGTTAGTAAACTTTAGTTGATTAAGAATATTTTTATATTTTTATTTATAAAATCATGTATCATGTGTTTACTATTATAAAAATAAAACAAATCAAAATTTACAGAAATATTTGGAAAACTTTTACACACATATTGGTTCTAAACTGACAGATGCTGCATTTTACATGGCTTAAAAATTTTATATTTTTAATTTTGAATAATGAAGAAACTATAGTTGTTAGAATAAGTTTTTTTTTTCAAATGACCAGCATAATTTTTACATAAATATTTTTGGATTACTTTACGTTTCACTAAGAATTAATTCGGATTTGATAAAATAAATATACACATTAAAACGATATACATACATAATGTTCACAATTACTCAATCAAGTCTTCAGATTTTAAAATAACATCATGTTCCACTTTCATATGCTGATCACATAACTCTTGTGCGGAAAATTGATCGCCACAGATAATACATTCAAATGACTTATCGTCATGTTGAGATAATTTTCTTTTTCTTCGTCCTCTACTACGTTCTCCTTCCTCACTATGACTTTTTAAATGTACTTTAAGTGTATATTTTTCTACAAATGTTTTTCCACAAATCTCACAGCTAAATCGTGGGCGATCTTCACGATGTACCCATAGATGGTTTCGATACGTCCGACGGGTTTTAAATGATTGATTACATACTTCACATATTAGAGGTTGATCTTCTGCTTCGTGCTGTAATTTGTGATTATAGTAAAGTGGTAATTCCGAAAAACGTAGTCCACATCTTTCGCACTGCACATTTTTTTTATCCCAATGTTTGTGCATATGTCGAATTACATTTATTTTGCGAGCATATTTTTTGTTACAGAACCGGCATTCCAAATCGGATTTCCCCTCATGTATATTCATATGCAACTCTAAATATTCCTCATCTTTCGCTCTTTTCCCACAAATTTCACATTTGAAAATTTGTTTAGATGGTTTATGTACAATATTTATGTGCCTGCGTAAACGCGACTTGTTTTTAAAAACTTTTCCACACGTTTCACACTTAGCGGGTTGAACATTGTACCTGCGTGTACTAGTAGTTGGTTCTTTATCTGATTCGAATTCTTCAGCATCGTCATTGAAACTTTCCGAAATATCGCTTTCTTTATTAGGATTTTCCACAAATACGTTATCGTCCAGAGAAGCGCTAATATTTTCATCACCAGAATCACAAGCATCAGTTGCATTTTGAAAACTAATTTCAACATTTTCAGTTGTAAAATTGCTAGCATCCACACATTCATCCAAAGTTTGAATTGTTAGAAACTCTTCAGTGTGCTGCGGACTTCTTAAAGACAATATAATACGCTTTTGTACTTCCAACAGCTTAACCATATATTCATCATATAATAAAATATCGTAGAAACAACTTTTGCAAACATAACATTCGTCCAATTGGTCAGCCCATGTAACATCTATAGGTGGTTTAGCTGATTTTGCTAAATAACTGATAATTGAGACAACAGATTTTTTTGAAAAAGGTGATTTTTTCTTAATGTCTTGGAGTTCGCCTGCTCTTATCACTCCTATTCCGCATAAAATACATCGCATGCTTAGGCGGCATTCAAAGAAATTTATAAACGTTTTATTTGAATCACATCTCAAAAACAATATGTTCTAATGTTGGTGGAAAACATTGATAACTTGGACGTAAAAAATATACAATTTGACAATAATTTATTTTATCACAACAAACTAGTGCTGTGGAAATGTATGGGAACGATAACCCATTTAGTTGAATCATTACTTAATATCGATATTTTAAAATAGGTATATCGAAACTGAAACAGTGTTGCTGCTTCATAAGAGCGATACCGTTTTAAACAAAATCAGATTAGACAACTTTCTGGTACCAAGTCATTTTTTGATCTTGATTTTTTTCATAAGCGTTCATCTAAATTATGTAGATTCTCTATTTAGATCACGGTGATGCATACACAGCTAAACTGCGTTGAGAGTTACGATTACACACAGAAAATATATTGTATCATACATTTATGAAAAATAATTGACGTTTTGCTTAAAATCTAATAAAGAACATAGGGAAGTTATTTTTTCCTTTTTTTTTTTGTAACCGTGACGGCCGCGAGAGCCGAGTGGTTAGCATTACATACTGACATACGGAAGACTCGGGCTCAAATCCCGGTGCCACTAACATCCAAAAGCGATGGAAAACTAAGTAATTAAACATCAAGACGCCAAACCGCAAATTGGGGGCTTGGCCGAAAAATCGCTTCAGCAGTTGCAAAGCGTCAATTATATACATATATACAACCGTACTACCTTCTTCAAATTTTCGTTGCTAAAATGTGTGACAAGAAAATCATTGTTAGTTAAGGATAATATAATTGGCATCTTGTGACGACTTAAACGATTTTCGGCGCATGGAGCCAGCAGTAGCTAGTGTTGTTTTTATAGAAATTATTTGTTTAAATAGACATTCATACCTACAATTTTTTTCATTTCTCAGTTATGGATATATTTCCAAATCTGAGAGACATATTTAGTTTAGATGTACTAAATAATGAATCGTATTAGTAAAGGAATCGGAGGGTGTGCAAATGTTAAACACAATATTTATTTAATGTAGTACTCGTTGCTAAGTACGATAATAATTATCAATTATCAGTTGATTTATTTTTATCATACTAAGGATGTGCAAAATTTCTCTTATTTGCTAGAAACCCACTACTTTTGATTTTGAATTATTAGTGACGGTAAACGATAAGAATTTCATACAATGTCACAGTCTTGAACTACCATCCTTTGTTTCAAAATTTCCAAACGTTCCGTTGTCGTAAGCGATGGCCAACTATTTAGTTTTCAACCGAGGCCGCGACCATTGATAAATTTTCTAAAGAGTAATTATTTCATAAAGCTTATAACTGTTTTTGGTGCCGCATTTAAATTTTATATAATGCGAGTAAGCGCTGTTTGGCAGCATTTCGACAAAGTTGATGGTGGTAGAAGAGTAAAGTGCAAGGAGTGTAACAAATTATTGAAGTACAACAAAAGCACGACAACACTCTCATTTCATCTTAGAGCTATGCATGGAATAGACACGAGTAAGTTTTCTTATCTAATAATTTTAAGCGCGCTAAATTAATAGATTCAATGTATAGGGTAATTAGAAGTTATTTAAATATGTAGTCGATGTCTAAGTTGGTATTTACACCTCGAAAAAGCCTGTAAATCGGATATCGACTAATCATCCCTAACCCTACTTTTCGGTGGTCGGTTTATTTTTCGTCATTACCGAATCGATAAAGCCCAAAATCGACTTCTACAGAGTTTTTAATGGCATAACTCTCCAGTGAATAACTAACTCGATTCAAAAGTGCGTTATTTTAAAATATATGTACAAATTAAGTATACTATATGTTTTTGAACTACTTTGTTTTAGATTTGTTAGGCTTGCATACATTAATATACTCACACATACATAAGTCTGCATACATAATAGTTGTTGATATTTAAAATACAATAAATTTTTGCATTTTTACGTTTGCAGCAAGATCCAAGACTCAGTTGGAATATTCTGATCCTGCAGGTACTATTAGAGAACTGACAAGCGAATATTGTTTCTTATGTGGCAAATCGAACAAGCAATCAAACCAAACATTTCAAAATATAGAAACATGTAAGGTACCTGCCTCAGGAAAGCCGATTCAGGTCGTATTAAAGCATTTGGCGAATTGTGTGAAAACAAATTTGGTTTTCCAAGGGGTCGCATGTATTTGCATGGAATGTTGTGATGAGTTAGCTGAATATGACAATTTGATGGTCAACTTACTTTCTTTTCAAAAACGTCTAACCGAACGATTGCGGTCGGTTTTATCTGGAGAACTTAAATTGGAACAAGTTGATTATGACGAGTCAATCGCCGAAGCTATGATCGTCGAAGATGATGGTCAAATTGAAGATGCATTCAACCCAGATTTGGACGCCAAAGAAGAATTAATAGAAATAGTTGGTAACGAAGAAAATGTAGAGAGCACCAATATTGAAGATGATGAAAGTTTTCAGAGTGATAAAGATATTGATGATGGTGATGACGAATGGACCACTGAAAAAAATGTAGGAGAAAGAAGTCAGGAATGTGTCGTTTGCGGACTGATTTTTAAATCAAAAGCCGAACTTCAGAGGCATATAAATTCTGCTCATGATATTAAACAATTTGTATGCAATATTTGTGGTGCTGTCCGAAGAGACGAAGAATACTTGGAATTACACATGAATATACACGAAGGAAAAACCGAAAATGAATGTCGCTACTGCGATAAACGTTTTACCAGGCCAGTAAACACTTTACGGCATATGCGTAAACATTGGGACAAAAAAGAATATCAATGTGAAAAATGCGGGGAACGTTTTTCCTTAGATAATATGCTGTATAACCATCGAATGCGTCATGAGGCCGAAGAAAATCCTCTTATTTGCAGCATTTGTAATCAGTCATTTAGGTCAAGGAAAACTTATAACCATCATATGCTAATTCATCAAGAAAATAGGCCAAGACATCAATGCACACATTGCTCAAAGTCATTTACAGAACGTTATACGCTGAAAATGCATATGAGGACTCATAATATCGAATTACCGTCTTGCCGATCCCAAGTAACGAAATTCTTGGAAGAACAAGAGCAAGAACAGAACGAAACTAAGGAAGCCGTGTCTATGCTAATATCAAAATTCGAAACTGCTTCTCCTGAAAAGGAGTTCAGGTGCGTTATTTGCAGCCGTGTATTTGAGAATAAAGAAAACTTAGAAAAGCACTTAGAAAGCGATCACGATGTTATTTTAACCGACGAGCACAACAATTGATTATTATTTCCACGATGATTATGTATTTTAATAAATATTATTTTTGTTATGAATAAAAATTTACATCTTGCAATTGTCGAAAATACGTAGCACTTTTTCTTTGCAGTTCCGAGGCTTAAAACAATAATCTAGACGTTTTACCCTAGTTAATTATGAGATATATATGAATGAACTATATCATTCATGAAGTAAAATATAGATTGTAAGTTTTTACACATACACATAGTTACTTTCCTCTCATGATCAGTGAAAAAGTAAACCAATAATTTATTGGCAGAAGACTTTCCAAACAAACTTCATATGAAGTAATCCTTCAATATTATCACTGAGCTACTTCCACATCGCAGAATTATAAATAAATGTTGAAACATCACATATTTTTCATTTTTATATTGAAGTTGTTGTAAATAAAAAAGAACAGCGACAAATTTAAGTCTATTCGTTCTCCTGTGATCGCAAGCGACTGTTGGGGTTGGTAAGACGAATAGCCAGTTGCTTGGCGCGCTCAACAATTTCCTTGCGCTTTTTCGATGATACGCCATGAGCGATTTCACCGCAGTATTCACGATTTTGCATTAACAGAACTTCCAATTCTCTGACATTGTGAACCAAGAATTTCTTGAAGCCAGTTGGTAACATATGACGAGTGCGTTTGTTTGAACCATAACCAATGTTTGGCATCAAGTATTGACCCTTGAAACGACGACGTACTCTGTTATCAATACCTTTTGGTTTGCGCCATTTGTGCTAAGGAAATAAAAAAAAACTGCCATTAGTTTCAATTAAAATCGTATAATTTCCAGTAATTTACCGAAAGTTTCGCATAGCGATCCGACTGATGGCGAATGAAGTGCTTGGTGCGCTTCTTCACAATTTTTGGTCTGTATGCTGGGCGTATCGTCATCTTTACACTAAAGAAATAGAAAATGAAATATTTCCATTAGTAGTTTTCGTGAGTAAAAACTATTTGTTGTCAAAAAATTCTTCGAATCTCCAAAACTCGTATAAAGAGAATAAAGATTTATAAAAACAAAACATTGCTTCGATTATAATTTTATATTATTTTATGCAATATGTTATTCAACATAAAGATGTTATAAATAATTTTTGATTATTTAAGAAATTACACACCGATTTTTCAGAAAGAGCACGTCAAAAAGAAAGAAACTTGAAGTTAGCCGCTATTTAGTCAACATCAAACTTGACATTTGTTGTCACTTAGCAGTGCTTACATACATTGGCAAGCCTTACATCCGGTTCTTATACATGCTACGGTAAAATTAATGTAAAAATGCATGCACTCTGAGAATCAATAATAAATTAATAAAATATAATAATTGCTGTTTACAAAATAAAAACAAATACACCCATATGTACGCGTATATGTATCAATACTTGAATTTTATTATGAATCGGAAAAGAGGAAATGTTATTATTATTTACATTTCACTCAGTAAATTAATAATTTTTAGCACATTTGCTTATACTAGATATTATAAATGTTATTTTTTTTTTAATAATTTTAGTAACAATACAAAAAAGTTAAAAAATTTGTTGTCACGCTTGTGATTCTTTTGGTTAAAAAGCCAAATCAAGGGAATAAATTAACATGAGAAAAGAATTATACACGATTCCCCGGTTTTTGGAAGGAAACCTCTTTCAGATACATATGTACATATCTATCTTTTGCTGTTTATAAACAAAACAAATAATACTAAAAAGAATTATTTTATTTATTTTTCAATAATTCGATTGGTTTCACGAAAGGAAAGGAGTAAGGCAAAAGTTGATCAGAGATGAAATATGTAGGTAAGATTTAACGAAAACAGTTTTTTAGTTGGAAGCTCTCAGATAATCCCGATCAGCCTAGACATATGTAAGTTTTTTATTCTAGAAAATTAAGAGATCTACAAAGAATGTTAACGTTGGGTTGGAGTCTCTTAGCTATAAAGAAGCTGAGATATAATTTATTGAAAATTTTTAATAAAACGATTTATTTTAAGAAAATTTTCAGCAGCTGGATTTGATTATTATGGATCTCAAATATTCACGATCGTATCTATTTTTGGTATGCTGTTTAAGAAATCGCAATCCCTGACCAACGTAGGACGTTCCACTTTTTTATTTTAGGGTATCTCTTACTTGTATAAAAAAAATTGCTAGAGTCCCACAAGAAGATGAACAAACCGTACCACGTCAGTATCTTTCACAATGCTCCCAGCTCCATCAAGCATGGTGGATTTTGTTTAGATAGAAAAGTTTTAATTACGCTTTTGCTTTTTTAACTTTTGTTTTCAAAAAAAACAGCAAGCAAAGGCAAACAGCTAGTCGATTGTGTAAAATTAGGAAAAATACACTGGTCTGACATCGGAAACATGGTTGCGTGGTTTTAGCGTCTCCCAAACAAAAAAAAATCTCCCAACCAAAAATACATCAAAAACTAACGCTGAAAAGAGCGGCAGCTGAAACAAGACGACCCATTTGATACGTTGTACATGGCCTGTGAGCGTTGTCGCAAAATTGAGAACATCATAAAGAACCTCTCTTTTCATATTCAGTTTTCGAATCTTCGGTCCACGCTCAAAATGGCTTCAATATTCAAATTGAAAAAAAGTTGCAATGGGTTTTGCATTATCTTCCTAATTAGTAGCAGTACCTTTATGATCGCCTATTTATATCAAAATTATGTAAGCAACAACAATAGTGGTTTTTATCTATAGTTTCTAATATGAATGTCAAAGTAAAAATTTAAGATATGTCAATTAAAGCGCTAAAAGGGTTTCGATGTCGGTCTGCACATGGTGTAAAATACTTCTTGAAATTTTTCATTGCTCAAGCTAAAAATTAGTGAAATACCCAAAAGATGGAAAAGCTTGTGAAAATTATCCTCACTTGTTTATTATAGATCGTATTAAATATTCAACTATTTTATATATATAGTTTAAGGAAGTTAATTTACCAGCACTTCAAAGAAGAAGACTCTGAAATATATGTAAAGACTTTAAAAGTCATTATTGTTTGTTTTTCTAATTCCTTATTTTTTATAATTGTTTTGACACAAGTACTACCTGGCGATTAGCCCTTTGCCGAAAACATGCTTCTGTCTCCACCAATATCGTTGTTGGCAATGAAAAGTATTTTCTTTGCATTCTGTGCATTTTTTAACAGTGCGCAAAGAGTATACGAGGTATGTTCAAAAAGTATCGCGAATTTTGAATTTTCGCGGATTACGTATTTTTTTTTACCTATTCAAAAAAAAATGGATCAAAGAACCTGTATCAAATTCTGTGTGAAAAACGAAATTAAGTGCGCGGATGCATTCCGAATGTTGACTGTGGCATACGGAGAAGCTACCTTGGACCGAAGCAACATTTATCGGTGGTACAAAAAGTTCTCAGAAGGCCGAGAAGATGTGAACGACGAAGAGCGTGCCAGACGTCCGAGCACTTCAACAACAAACAAAAAATTAATTGCAGGGGCGTGGTGCATCATGAGTTCTTGCCACAGGGTAGAACGGTCAATAAAAAAAAAATTGGCTTTTGCACCACGATAACGCCCCTGCTCACACATCGTTGCTTGTGCGCATTTTCGGGCCAAAAAACAACACACTAATAATGCCGCAGCCACTGTATTCCCCAGATCTGGCCCCCTGTGACTTTTTCTTGTTCCCTAAACTGAAGAGGCCCATTAAAGGACGACGTTACGCTACGATTGACGAGATAAAGACGGCATCGAAGGAGGAGCTGAACAAGACAAAAAAAAAAAAATGATTTTTTGAAGTGCTTCGAAGATTGGAAAAACCATTGTCACAAGTGTATAATACCTCATGGGGATTACTTTGAAGGGGACAGAATAGATATTCATGAATAAATAAATAATTTTTGAAAAAAACACAAAATTCGTGATATTTTTTGAATACACCTCGTATGCGACTTCCTCACGAGTTTATATTACGTTTACATCAAAATTATTAAATATTTAAAATATGCACAGCGCATACATTTCTCTTGGGATAAGAATTTATGAGGTATTTAACAACAGCAATAAAATCTAAAGGCTTAATTTGTAGTCCTCTTCGGTTTGCTGCTGGGCAGTAACAATTAGTACTCAATTTTACAGAACAGCGTTCGATGAGGCGGAAGGCTAGTATTAACAAATACATTTTCTTTTCTTATAAATTATTTTCAAAAATCTTATTTCCAGGACTTGAATTTGAATTGCAGGTATATCTTTGAATACTCTTGAAATTGAATTTCGATATTTGACATTTTTACGTGCAATTTGAAATTAATTAATTGTTACGTCTAACGGTTTATTAAGCCTTAAGATTAGAGAACGAATATTTTGAATAGTAAAAATTTCTTATTGAGAATTCGAGAGATTTTTACTTAATTATTTCGCTTCATTACCTTTTCTTAATACTAACTTTCTCCAAAGGAGTCGGTAAAAAGGTATTTAACAGCGTAATACATAAACATAATGTTGTGTATACACATGTCGAGGGGCTTTTTGCAGTATTTATATTGTAACTACCAGAGTGGCACATTTTTTGTTTAGAAGTTTTTAATTGATTTTTTGAAAATATAACTTACCCTTTTAGCCAAATAATTACCTAAATTAAAAAAAAACACTTTGATCTTTATTGATAATCTTATCGCTTTATAACTGGCGCTTTGCATCTCTCGAAGCGATTTTCGTAGTACATTGCGTACTTAGCATACTTAGCATAGCTCATTGAAAATTTTATTTAAATGGTTCTTTTAATTTTATTGGATTATTTTACCCATTGATAAAAATTTCAATTTCTAATATATTAAACTTCTTCTGCTCGGAAATATTTTTGTTTTTTTTATTTGTAAATAACATTTTTTTTATTTATAAACATCCAATTTTTTTTACCAACAACCTTAAACTTTTCTTAATTCAATGTTTAGCTTCGGTTCAACGTCGTACCATAAACTTACATGGTCGAGAAAACGAAGATCTTCATATTTAAATGTCGTTGAAAATTTGAAATTCCGCACAAATACCATAAGTATAATTCGAACTGCGATCTCTGCATATCGCCAACCTGAAAAAATAAGTGAAATTATATTTTTGAATATTCAATCATAAAATAAGATGCATTACAAATTAGATAGAACGAAGATTTAAAAAATAATAAATATGTACATACATATATGTACAAAGGTGTGACGTTCAAATTATGCGCTCAAAATAAATTTCCTTGCTTTTCTCAAAAATATTCATAGATTTTCCAATAAAGAGATGTTAATGTGTTAAGTTAATTGGAGCCGATTAGCTCAAGAGAGTCTCACTCAAACGGTTACCAGTTACAGCACAAACGATAAAATAATATATTTACCTCTACTCTTCTTGTTGTGTTTCTGGTTTAAATAAAAATACCTTTTTCTTAGGAATTGAAAGTAAGAATTTTGACTTTTTATCAACTGCTGATTGAAAGTTTTAAAACTTTTCCGCCCTACGTAAGATCAAGGCCACGATATTTTTCTAGGTCGTCAGCTACCTTATTGACATGACACCTAGCAAAAGTGAACTCTTTTTCTCAACTAGTCTTTTGGAAAAACAATATGAATTCCATTACTTCTACGCACACCCGCTGCCAGCTGTAGCTCTGCCGCAATTTTTATAACAAATATCGTATTTCAACACGGAAGATACTGCAGTGGCTTGGCAGACTGAATATTGTACAGCCTCGAACGGCTTTATTCCACAACACACCGGTTTTTACAACCGATAAAAGAAACCATAAAGGGCAAGTAAGCAAAACAAAAACGACGTTAGGTTACTTTATAGACCTATAGACCCACCGTTCGTTGTAGTGTTTACAAGTAAAGATATACAAATCACTCCCACAAATCACTTTAAACCTTTGTCCTTTTTTCCAACCGTTTGCCGCTTTTCTATCTAACAGAAATCTCTGGAGAATCAAGCATGGCACAACAGTCTGTTTTTCCTAGTTTTCTGTTAACCTCAGTTAGTAATCTATTACTAATTCCATAAGCCTGAGCAGACACTTTTTCTGGAATTGAAATAGCAAGCTTCCCTGACATTTTTACTAATATGACTTTTGCAAACTACATAGTAAAAATATTGAGGTTACCCTTTGATTTTATTATACTGTTCGGTTAGTTGATGGGCTGTGGTAACAATTGTTGCCAATTTGACTGAATCACGTACGGTGAGTTAAAATGCCAGTAAAACTTGTACCCTGACAGCAAAATTTTGACATTTCGTAACTAGCTAATTTTTAGTGCTATCTCTAGGCGAACAGAGCTTGTAATTCTAGTACTTACCAACACAATTCCTGGCACCCTTTGAAAATGGCATATATATATAGGGATCTCTTAAGGCTACATTTTCGGGTAAAAAATTATCTGGATTGAATAGGTGAGCTTTGGAGCCCCACAATTCTTTTGAACGATGCAGACTGAATATCGGCACTAACACCGGCATTTTCGGCGGCAAAATTAATTCTGATGTCAACTTCGTTGTGTGTATTGTTTGTCGTCCAATAAGCGGTATGGGGGGAATGACGCGTAACGTTTCTGAAACTACCATATCTAAGTAGGGTATTTCTTTTAGATGATCATACGCAACTGGAATATCATTTTGTGGTAGCAATTTATGAATCTCTTGATAAAGTCTCTCTTGCACATCTGTATGCATAGCTAACATTACTATGGACGAATAAATTGCGGTAGCGACCGTTTCGAATGACTGAAAAAAAAAAACGTTATGTTAAAGGAAATATTCACATATATATATGTATGTACGTGTATGTATGGTATGAAATTATGCTTAAAGACAAGGTGGTTTACTGCCTTAGAAAAAAAAGTAATTTTCTTACAAAAAATTTAGCAACAAAAAAATTATGAACTTTAGAATCTGGACATTGTTTCATTTTGTATATCATTAAATTACAACTAAAAACGTGTATATTTTGTTAAGGAAATTTGAAATTTGCTGGTTTTGCCAAAATGCTACGTTGAGCTAAGGGAGCTGATGAAATGAGCCGTCACTAAATATTATATGTACGTACATCGTCTTATCTTATTGCATCATGTTGTATTTATCTACTTAAAAATTAGTTTCATAAGTTATCAAACATTAGTCCAGTTCGGTGAGCTGGTGGGCCTGGTAACCTTTATTACCAATTTTTCCAGCAAAAAACCAGTAATATTGCCAAGGTGATCGCATAATTTTTACACATTTCGTTACTGGCCAATGCTGCAACTACCCAACTCACGTACCAGCCGTTCATAGCAACCTATGTTATGAGTGCGCCATGTAAACACAAAGTTGTCACCGCTTGCCCATGCCGTTAGTGACGGTTGTTCCGCAGAAACAAGCGGCGATTTGATTTTTTTCCGTAAAACCGGCTCGGCTCAGTTCTCGTTGCTATACAAGGTTGCCAGTGTAGTCTTTTTAAAGTAATATTAAATAATCGAAGATAATGCGTAGTTTTTTCAAGAGAAATTAAAAGTAAATGCATACTAATTATTTGTTACCATTTAGATCATGTATATTTGACTTGCGTTTATATTCGAGCATATAAATTATAAAATTCATTGACGAAAATTATAAATTTGTTCAAAAGTGTGTAAACATACTGGCAACTGGCAAAATTTTGCCGCTCTCAGTAGCGTCGATAACTCGTGTATGTATCTCGATCTTTCAGTCCGGATGGTAAGTAAAATGGGTAGTTGCTGCGTAATACTTACTGACGTTTCTCACCGAACAGAGCTTTAAACTAACCGAACTCATGTGGAAAACACATCTTGTTGAATACTTTTTGCTACAACTGTTTTAAAGTTTCCTAATACTGTTGAAAATATTTGGTAAAGCTAAAATATTTTTACTTACTGTTATTTTAGAGAGTCAATTACTTACCGCGCCAATTAAACTGATAGACTCAATGATAACATCTTCTTTTGCTAATTGTCCATTGCCATAGTAATTAAGTGCAATATCTAGAAAGGATTTGCCAATATCTTCGTCATACACGCACGTTTCGTCCTTTGATTTGGTATTGTTGTTTGTACGTTGATCTATTAACTTAAATATATAATATTAACATTCAATATTAAATCATGTTCTCATTTTTAAATCAAATATGTACATAAACATATATGTCTACGTGAGTGTTATGACAATGCTAAGAAATCGCTGGAGCTTACTTTGTTGATGAAATTTCGCAAAAAGCTTATTGATCTATAATAACTAGGTGTTCGTGCTAAGAATCCGAGACCCATTGTAGAGCATGCAGAATCTTTGGCGACTCTCTCCAGCAAACTAAAAAGTAATAATATTTTTTAATTACAATATCCTTAAAACTGGAATTTAATATGGTAATAAATTTGAATTTTTACATATGTGTGCAATGAATATTTTTGTTGAAAAAAATAAGGTGGAAAAAGCTCATATTTTTTTTCAAAAATTTTTAATAATAAAAATAAAGACTTTTTTTTTAACAAAACGGTAAAAGAGATAATCAATAATTTTGCCTGAAAATATAAAAATGGAAAAACAAAAACTATGTCTTAATGAACACAAAAAAATAATTTTAATTATAATTTTTCAGCGTTTTAATAAATTTTTAAAATTATTTATTATTAATAATTAAATCGAAAATTTTTAAGTGAGTAATGTTTAAAAAACGAACTCATAATAATTACGAACTCTGGTTTAAAATATAAATAAGTATTTTTTAATTATAATTATTTATTTTTTGATATTAAAAACTCCATACGGAAGTATTATATTACGAAGAAAAGTGAAATAAATTTTTTTAAATTATCCCTATTATTTTTTTTACTCGAATGATACTTTTCAAAAATCGTGTAAAATGTGTATAAACAATATTAAAAATATCTTGTTAGAGTGTACTTAATTTATTCCTTGTTTAACGATTTTAATTCATTATACAGGGGTTTTTTTGGTATTTAAAGAAACTGTTTCCTTAAAAGATCAATGGTTTCGTTGCTTGTGGGACACGTAGCATGGTCTTGTTGAAAATAAACGTTGTCAAGATCAATAGCGGACGAGCGGAATTGGATGCTCATAAAAAACCAAGAATCTTCTCTCGATATTGCATCCATTCATTTCGTAAAATGATCCAATGACCCAGCCGGACCATAAACTGCACCAAATAGTTACACGTTGAGGTTGGAGGTTGGCTTTTCAACAATAAAACTTGGGTTTTCTGCGCTCCAGATGTGACAGTTTTTCTTGTTGACATAGTCATCGAGTTGGAAATGGACCTCACCAGTCAAATTGATTTTTCAATGAAATTTTTATAGTGAATTTTAATAATTGTTTGTTGAAGCGTTTATTGTTCCATTTTCATTAATTGCGTGGTTTTTACTTCTCAAAGACAAATTATTATAGCTTCAAAAGTGACATCTAACGGAATAGCTTGCTAACCAAAATAACACCTCTTATTGAAAAACCCTTTATTCATTATAAAGAAAAATTAATTATATTTGGGAAAATGAAAAGGTTTTATCTGAAGTTCTTTAATAAATATAAGAAAAATTTCTGATATTAAAAATAGTGTTAACACAAAAGAATTTGGGCAAAAAGTGATTTTTTCTTTTTAACTCGTGAAAATCAAATTCTTGTGAAAAACATAATTAGGTGTATTTAGGTTAGCAAACGCGCATCATAACTTTCTAGAAGAAAATAAGAATGAATTAAAATATGGAGAGCAGTCAGATGGTTGGAGCTACTGCTTTAGTCATACTATTTCTTTCAAACTGATGACCATCGGCCGAACTTCCATACGCATATCAGCTCATTTTCTAAAAAGTTGGGCGTCTTCTGTTTACTTTGCCTCGCAACCACGATGCATAAAGGATTTTCTCTCACTCTGTCAAACAATTTTTTAATTAAAAGTTTTCTTTGAAAGTTCACATTATTGTTTTTCCTATTTTTTTTTGTTTTTCTTTTTTTACATTAGGAATTATTTTTCCCACGATTAACGGTTTTATAAAAATTATAAACTTTATAGGAGAAACATATTTTCATGTAATGTACTTTGGAGGCAGTATATGTGTACATACGTATGTGTATATGTTCATGTGCAGATAAAAATAAAATTCTTATAGCTCAATATTAGATATTTCAAAAATAAATAGATAAAAAGAAATTGTTTTAAAATATTTTTAAATAATTTAAATGATGAGATATGCATATACATATATATTTCATAAATAATATAACATTAAGTAAAACATGTGATGATATATGTATGTATGTTTGTAGGTGGCTTTAATTTATTTTAAAGTTTTATCATTCACACAAATGTTTAAAAGCTGAGAAAAAAGATATAAACAGAAAGACACCGTCAGATTAATGATATTTTAAGTGAATATGTTGTATGTATGTATTGTACTTGTATATATACATACATTTGCACTTACAAGCTAAATGATTCCATTAGTTCATAATTTTCGGCGGCATCTTTCCTCATGTCAACACCCATTGTAGCCTCTATTAAACAAAGTGCAAAAAGATTTATCAAAATTTTCATCTTATTGTATTATATATGCATATATATATGTACGTACATATGTACGTATCTACATACCGATTGATATCTCCAGTATGACTCGTTTGATTAAATCAAATATCTTATGTTGACCATGATTAGAAATTTTACTTAGGCGATGGACACCATTATTTGCACCATGATTAAAGAGAGGAATCAGGCTCATCAACATTTTGTGGCTAAAGAAGCCATTTACTATTTTGCGAATGTGCTTCCATTTATGAACTACAAATAGCGAATTCAAATTTAATTTTACTTATATAATCACCCAAGACAAATTAAAATAAAGAAAATAAATTTAATCTCAATGTGGCAGGGAATTTCAAGCCCTCCAAATGTATTTCTGGCATAAAAAAAAAGTTTCCAATAATAGTTCATCGGCCGTTCGGAGGCGGCTTAGAATAAGCTAATTGGATGAGGATGAATGTTTGTTTGTTAGTGATGCCAAGGCTCGAGAACGGCTGCACCAATCTTGATGAAATTTTCAGAGTTTGTCCGTTATGGTTCTGGGAAGGTTAAGAAAAAAAACTTTATATTTTTTTGAGGAAAAGTCGGTGAATTGGAAAATTCCAAAAAATGACTTTTTTCCATATTTGTTTCTGCGATCTCTGAATTGTCAATTTATTTTTGTGGTTCAAGGTGAGTTCGTTTTGTTATGGTTTCTAGGAAAGTTTATATGAAAAATTTTTTTTTTGAGCAGTGGACCAGTTATTCGAAAAAATCTTATTTATAGTTCGATTAACTTATGGGGCACACGTAGTGTAATGGCCTAAAAAAAAAGGTGATTTTTGGGAATTTTTATTAAAAAAAGAAAACTTTATCAATTGTTTCAAAATCTTAAAAATATATTTGTATATGTTTCAAGAATATAGAGGGAAATTTTTGAAGAAAAAAATTAAATATTTTTTAAGTTATAGTCGATTTCCACCGGCGCGTAAAAAAGGACCTTCTGTTATTTTTAAAGGTGTAATCTACCGATATATGAAAAAAAGATCGATTTTTTTGAATTTTCACATTAGGTGTGCCCCTTAAAATTCTGTACATTGGGTGTGAATTGATATTTATACTTTTCATGAAAATGAAAGGGTCTATTAAATTGGTCCAGAAAGGGAAGAGTGAGATCCACCAAAATTTATACCAATGGAATTAGAACGACGAGTTCAGTTGACCGAGATCGATCAACCGTTAATTTTATGTAAAGTTCATTGATGAAAAATCACCTGTATTTATATACACAAATCTATATTGTATTGTATTAGAGTTGGTTTATATGCTGTCCTTCTCGGACTGCTGTGACCGAGTGGGTTCATAAAAAAAATATATTTACCAAATGTTAAGTTGTCGATATTACCTTCGCTAGTGATTATCCCATCACGTATAGCGTTATTAAGGGGATTATATATTATTTCCGCTTTGTTGTAAAATTCCGAGGAGGTTGCAATTGTCTTGATTATTTCTGGATCTATAGTTATAATAACCGGATCTGTACCTAGCCACGCGCAATACGTTGATGTACTAAGCTCTTCAAAACAGGCACTTAATTTATACAAAAAACCTATTATATTAAAATAATTGCGAATTAGTATGCCACAATATAGCGTGCATATTTTTAATTAGTTCACTTTAATAAGCCGACATACGTTTAATAGGCACCAATTTATATGCTATTCCAATAAATGGTAATCCAAAGATTGTTGGTATTTTTGAAGTAATATTTTGAAATTGTTTACGCTTAAAATATATATGAAAATAGGATATGAGAATAATAAACAATACGAAAATAGTATATCGAAATGGAACACAGTAACAGTTTTGCAATTTCTCCGTGTACGGCGTCATTTTTAGACGTAACCAGAATAAATTTACGGCGGAACTAAAATTAATATAGTTCTTACATTGTTTTTATATGTCTTTCGAAAAGCGAAATAAAAGCATTCAAATTTCGGCATTTTTGCAGTAATTAATTTTCTCTTACATTCATTTATTTTTGTATTTTTTTTTTATTAGTACAACATATGAACAGTGCTATGTGTATGGCTAAGTATATAAATATTTAATATTTAATACAACTCCTCTCGACTTGGGATTACAAAGGGCAAATGACTAGATAATTTAAAGTACTACTTTGTACTGATATAAAATTATGTACAAATATAATCAGAAGTGAGGAGTTTCTGAATTCTATTTTAATACGCACACTCCGAACCAAATTTATTGTCACACTAGTTGTGGCTTTGCGTTAAGCGCACTTTGATCTTATTATTAGCAGAAACATTTACATATGTATATTAACAGCAGTAATACTTCAGACACATTTATATACGCATATGTATGTATATATATATATATATTTCTAATTGAAGTTATGTATATTTGTTTAAACGAAATACGAAATTGCAATTGGCATAAATAAATTAATTTTACATCTCATAGTAAATTGCAGTACGTTGACCTCTCGAAATATACTTAAATATGAGCGTATGTATTGTACATAAACAGTCATATGTAAATACATATATGTTACAAGCATAAGCAAACAAAATAGCAAATTATTAAGCACACCTATACCGTGTATGACATTGCTACTTTGTAATAATTGACTAAATGCGCATTTTATTTACTTTAAAAAGACGAACACCTAGAATTTTTTGTTTACGATTTCTTTTTAATTCTTGACTCAATTATTTAGTGGTTAATTAATATTCACCACTTTAGAGAACATAAAATAATAAATTGGCGATTTGATCTCTCTATTGTATGTATATGAAGCTCCCATATTGATGACATTGATAAGATATGAAATGAGGAGTTTATTAATGATATTTTCTAGTTCTTATTTTACTTAAATTAACTAATCAAATATTTTAACTAAATACACATATCATATTTACAAGTTTCAATGGTATATTTCGCACAGGCTATAAATACTCATGAGCGTCGTGCAAAAGTGCCCGGCGTCTTTGAATTTCGTTCAGTTCACTGCGCCGTTGTCACCAAATAGAGGTTTCATGTGCGTTATAGTGAAAGCGAATATTTCAATACCATAAATATTTTTACGACATGACTTTTTTCAAATTTTCATACGCTGTATTCATGATGCCCCAACTGAGAAATGAACGAAATGAATTAAAAGCACATCCTCTGTAGAAGTATTTTATACGATTTCCACGTTCAAAATAGATTCGTTTACATATCGCCCACATGCTCTCCGATACTTGTCCCATTTCACTTTGCATGGCCACTTTTATAACATTTAGTGGGTAAAAAAGTGTACTAATCGAAGCGCCAATAATGGCTCCCGCAACAAATTCTTGTGCTGTTTTTGTTGTTTTAGAAGACTATAAGTATAAAAGTCATATAAACATCGAACTTTAAAACAGTCAATAAAATTACCGTATCTGGGAGGAATAATGATACTTCTTCACGGAGCATGAAGAACATGGCATTTGAAGGTCCATTACGCCAAAGCACTGGTACAATTCCCCTATACAATTCCAAAAAGCCATGGTGTACTAATACGTAGCTGAAAAGAAGTTGTTAACAATATATTGCATATTTTCTAAAATTTTTAAAATATCTACATATTTAAACTTATCTAATAATGTAATGTAACAACTCACTTGAAAGCTCGCGGAGTGTTAGCAAAATATTCATGATACTTTGAATGGGCCAGCAAAGTTTGTACTCTCTCGAAGGGAAGAAGTACTGCCTCGACGGTGCCTGACGTAATACCAGCAATTATTTTAACAGTATAAGCGTTCATGCTAAAGTTTTCTATTAAATATCGACGCGATCCATCAAATACACCAAACATTATTGATAAAGAGATAGTTTTCTGTGCCATTGGCGGGAAGATTCCGCGATACAGAAATCCCAAACCTTCATTCCGTAACTGTCCAAAAGCTGAAGTTATCGGCACACCATGAAGCATTTGCCGAAATATCATTTTATAAATTGGATAGGTAACACCTATATTTATAAAAGCTGCACCACAGCCACAGGCAAACTCCTTCCAGTCAAATGCAGCCAATATTGATCTAGTGTAAATGTGTGGACTTGTCCTTAAAGCCTCGCTATTGATCTCTCTTAAGTTTGGTTCGTTGTTCATGATTGCGCATGAAGTTGATAAATATGAATGTTGAAATAATTTTCTCCTAATTAGGCGTGTATTTTGATCTAATTATTCAATGTAATGTGTCACCTTAATTTCAACATTTGATAATCGTTTAATGACTAGAGGCATAGGTGGGATTGGTTAAACTTTTTGTGATTTACAACTTCATTCAGCTTTTCTCACGTTTTGATAACGAACAACTTAGTTTTCACATATGCCTCGGCATGCTCGTTGTATCTTGATCTGCAAAAGTAAATCCAGGTGGATTTAATAAAAAGTAAATTACGTCAAATTAATAAATTACATAATAAAAATATTAGGATACTTACTGTGCAAACTATTCCTGCTAAATTATTTCCTTTTGCCTTATTTTGAAGCAATTTCAGACACGCCACATTTGCCATTCATCATATACAGAACACAGCCAGCTTTGGAATATATTGAACAGGAGAAGCAATCAATCTGTATGACAAACTGTTGCCTCCCGAAGTATATTACACTTATTTTCCACAGGATACGGATTTCCCTTTAATTTAAAAAAAATCCAGGTTCTTTTCGTAATAAATTTATCAATCTGTCATTCTGTAAACAGCTGGTATTTTAGAAAGCACGGCCGTATTGACAAAATTAACGGCGCAAATATTAAAAGTCAAGTTTACTTACTCAACGGCGATGTGATAAAAACACTGAAAGAAACAAGAAGTTAAAAGAAAAAATAATAAAATAATAACAGTTATATTAAAACTTTTATGAGAGAACTATGTTCAACAGGGGTGAAGGGTTGGTTTAAATGCTACGTTAGAATATACAGGATAAGAAGATGAGAGTAAAGCTAAGCAGTTTTCCTCAGATGAAACAAATATGTATTGTAAGTTTATAGATAGTACTTAATAAATGATTTATTAACTGTTATTTAATATTATTATTATGAAAATATAATCTAATAAAGTAAAAAATATTAAAATATTTTGAAGTAAACATGAAGAAGAAATCGAAAATACGTGTGAAACAAGCCCACGTTCCATCGGGCGAAGGGAGGAGGGAAATAGACACACTTAACTACACGAATCGACAATCCCTTTTAAAACTGAATAAAATTTCTTGTGATAATAACAAGTTTGCTAAGTAAGTTGTAGCTTTTTTTCAACTTGCCAAGATATTTGATACCAATTCAGGATCTATAATTAACTCTTAAGTAAATATAATGCTACAAAAACGATTTTTTTTAAACAAAATATGTATAACGAATTAATTATACATTAATTATCATTTAGATTAAATAATATTTAACTCATTTGTATTACTAATAACTAATATCTCGGCGCCTTAGAATGATTAAGCGTGTCCCTGAGCGGGGCTAGTGAACCGATACAATAATAACAACAGCAACTAAAAATTATATATTTAAAATTTCAAAATTTCATACTTTTCCCTACGTGCACCAAGTAAATCATATTAAACAAAGTTGAAAAGGAAACTACATAGAAATAAAACTTGTTATAATATTATAAATTAATTTTTGCTTCAAATGCTTTCATTTTGAATATAAATTGTCTTTTTTTAAAGCTTTAGTACTGCCCGATTGCACGGTGGTGTCCGTTCACAGCACACTTACCCTGCAAAAATCCTTTCTCACCCTCTGCGCATCTGGGAAAACATTTCATATTGGTGTATAATTCTTTTTTTTTTTTGGTTGTTTATATCCGAAACTAAGGTTTATAAACCTTAAAAATGAATAATAACTTAGAAGTTTCTGAAAGAGTATATTTTTTCTAGGCCCAGCAGTCATGAGTATAAAGTAAACTTTCAAACGATAGAGTTTTAAGTCAAATACCATCGGCAGAATTGATTAAATTGACCGATTCGCTACTGTTTTAAAATTTAAAATTAACTCAAATTTACATGGTAATATTATACAAATATGTATGCACACATACACACTTATTTACATATATTTGCATTTAATTTAACAAGCTCCTTTTTTTTGTACATAATTATACACATATGTATGTATATAGTTTTATATTTGGAAATATATTATTACTTAAAACGAAACACAAGAGTAAAAACCTTAATTAAAAATAATCAATACATAATTATACTAAAAAGTATTTACGGTTTTATTGTAATCTTTATAAATTATATACAAAGAAGAACGTATAATCGCATCACTTCGTTCAACAAAGCCTTCTAAATGAGCCCATAAGAACCAGAAGAGTAGTAGACAAATAGTATATTTTGTTGCACGATCTAGAATATATAATCTACGCAGCACCTTTTTTGCCTTCGGAATCGTTTCTACACTTTCACCAAGTATATAGGTCCGCATTCCGATTATATAGCCACGTATATATTGCTCCCAATTCACTTGACTCACAGATGTATCAAAAATGTCTTGATCTATTTGATTCAAATTATCACTCAGGCGTTGGAATTTTTCATTTCGAAAGTCCCAATCTTTAGTCGTATAATACTGTAATAGTTTTAGACCCGTTGAGATTTTCTTTTGTACATGCACCAAACTATAAAGGGTAGATAAGGAAATCATGCAATATTAAATAATCATAATAAAAATGAGCAAACCAATTCACTTACAATTGTTTACGACCGAAAAGTAATAAAAAGAAATCTATGAGATATGCCGGCAGATAATGAAAGAAGATCACACAGAATAAATGATGATAATAGTTCTTTTTAATTGAACCATCTGGATACCATAATGCGTAACTTAATGGGTATTCGTAGAAAAATCGTTTCCCAGTCTCAATACTCTCACCCCAAGAGAATAACGCTTTCTTCGAGATACAGAGATTACAAAATTCCACACAATTAACGCCTTTCGATTTGCCGCGATTATATCCCGCAACTATCATTCCATTTATAGCTTTATCGACTGGTATGACCGTAGATGAGTATTCAGGATTACAATGCATGGAACGAATGATGCCACGTGCTGCACCAATCATTAGACCAGTGGGCCCATTAACGCCTTCTATCCAACCGGGTAGAGGTTCATTGATTGCTGCGGTAACTAAATTAAGTAAATGAAATTGTATGAAAATATCGTATATATATTATTTATATGTACATATATGCAGTGGCTGTAGCCGAGTGGGTAGCAGTGCATGTTGCGGGGTGGAGGATAATGTGTTCGCACTCTGATCAGGCCAATATTTAAAAAGTTGTTATTGTTGTTGTTGTAACAGTAATATTTAAAAAGTATTTAAGGTCTCTTCTCGGCGGCGAATTTTAATATTTTCGAGTGTTTCTGTTATGCCATAAAGTGTTATTAAAAAAATCTATTGGTTCTGTGTAAACAACATATTTAAGGTAAATTCAAAACAAATAAACTTTCAAAATTTTCTTTACAGTATGGCAAAACTAAATTTTAGTTATAGAAAATAGAGGAATCTTAGAATTGTATTTTCTACATTAGAAATTTATCTGTTTTATTATTTTATGTTATGTTATAACCGTTAGATAACCAAAGTTATTCCTCCACATCTCGAAGACGACCTAACAAGGTTGGTTTTGCAGTTATTATTCATAACTATCGGCACATATTTGTCGTAATCGTCTCCGATGTGACCAATTTTTCCAAAAAAAACGGGCAAAAATAAATTTTTTTTACAATAAAATGTTCACACAAAAACACAAAATTGAATGTATGCTGGTCCCACTAATGCCTATAGTTTGTCTCAATGTCACATGATGATCTTGTAGTACCTGTTTGCGAACAGCTGAAACAACAGCTGATTTTAGATTACCTTCACGAGATGGCCTTGGAGTGAGCTATGACCACTATTGAATCCACCATACCATCTGTAGACTCAGTTTCTTAACTTTTGTGGGGAGCTCTTTTTGATCAAATGACAAAAATGCATTCGGCCAGGTGGTTGGCATTCCCTGGTAATGGGTGAACATAAAAACATATTTAGAATAAATTTTGGTTTTGAATAGAACCACACGGCTACAACCACTGCGACGACAGCACAGCTAATAATGTAACGTAAGAAAAGATGGAAACTTTTTATTTACCTATTGATGGTCTGGTAATAATGATGGGCAACTCTTTTCCATATCTACATATTAAATCCTCTGTGAGGGCCTTACTGTAGGCGTATGTGTTCGGAAGTCCATTAAGCAGTCTATAAATATGTAAATTCAAAATTCAAATTTTACATTTTATTTTTAATTTGGGAAATAGTAATACCTTTAAAATAAAGAATAAAAATTATATAATGTAAAGTTAAATGTATATATATATGTATACCTTGGTGTAATTTCTTTCAAATCAGCATCGGTCATATCCTCAACCATTTTGATTATATCGTAAGGATTTTGTGGTGCTGGATAAGCGCGTTCTTCCAGAACACTTTCATTACATTGGCAATATGACGTCGATACGTGTATGATAACTTGAAGGTTGGTCATTTTTTCAGCCAACTGAAGCAATTTTAATGTGCCAAGGACATTCATTTGAACCATCGGCCGTAGTGGTTGGTCGAATCTTACATTGGCCGCACAATGAAATACGATTTCAACGTTCGATGCCAATTCGTTTGTGTCATTTGCATTTAAACCAAGTTCATCTTCCAATACATCGCCCTTAACGACTTGAACCTTATGAACAACGTTTGGATTTTCTTTTAAAATTTTATTAAAAATCTGCAACATAAGAGTATAAATATATCAGAAAGCAAATTACTTGGTGGTAAGCATTGATATACATATGTAATTATATAATACGTGCATACATGCTTACATGCATAAATACGAGTAAATACATATACAACCTTGGCCGAAAGTATTAGGCTCCCCACTAAAATAAAAGTATTCTCAAATGTAGCTATCAAGGTTACCACTTAACCTAAAAATTGTCATTTTTAAGAAATTCATAAGATATTTTCGCATTAAAATTTGAAATTATTTTTAGTGAAAAGTTACCAATCTTATAAAAATAGTACATATTTACCGAAATGCCTAGAAATAGTGAAATTAATTACGTTGACAGAGTTAGAATTCAAGTTATTAGTGAAGAAGGTAAGTCTTAGGTTGAGATAGCCAATTTGGTGGTTCCAATGTGCTAACAGGCGATTTGTGGAGACGAGATCCCACAATAATAAATCAAAAAGTGTAAGAAAGCGTTCAATCAGTAAACGAGATGACCGAATACTTATAAGCGAGTCTCTTAAGGATCGCAAAAAAACTTCTTCTGTCCTTGCAGCTGCCCCTCTCGGATGAATTTAGTAGACCAGTTAATGCTCGAACTGCTAACAGAAGACGTCTGGAAGCGGGTTTAAAAGGATGTAGAGCCCGAAAGAAGCCATGACTCTCAGAAAAGTATAAGAAAAATAATTTGGACTGGGCTCGCCGATACCAACAATTCACGGAAGTGAATTGGTCGTATGTTCTGTGGTCTGATGAATCAAACTTCGAGGTAAGCTTAGTTAAGAACGTAAAGTATTTACAGCCATATCTTCTTACCCTAGAGCAATTTTGAAGAAATAATACAAATCTTATGAAAACATTATTTTTTTTCTCTTTTTTTTTACAGATATTTGGAACACCTGGTGTGACGTTCGTGAGGCAACGGGTTGGGGAAGAATATCATCCAGATTGCGTGGTACCCACTGTTAAGCATGGAGGAGGCAGCATTAAAATCAAGAGCTGCATGGCTGCTAATGGTGTCGGCGAAACCAAAGACCAAGATCCAACCACAAAATATTCCATAAATTGGTTAGACCTAGCTCCAATTGTTGCGCGCGATGTTGGATGAACTCATTCGGGTCTTCGTCGATGCTCTACAACAATAGCGTAGCATAAGAAAAATGGTTAACGCTCATTTTCGTGAGTAGCTGTGTACTTACATTATTAAAAGACACTTTGGCCACAAGATGACTTTGAAATTTTACATTTGTATATGTAAGAACAATGTTGCTCATTGAAAAATTAACCACACTCATCGTGCTTTTGAAATTTCTTATGTACATATTGTATGTACATATGTATGCATTTACGAGAAGCATTTTATCTAATACCTATAAGCGACATTATATTTAGCTCACAAAAAAAATGCATTGTAGTTATTGCAATCTGAGGCCATGACTTAATTGCAAATTGGTAAATATTTTACGAATAATACATAAAATACATAACCACATACTTGTGCTATGTGCAGTAGTTGGTTACATATTTAAAGGCATCGACAAATGTGTAGAGTTGTTTAGGTTTAATGTTGAATGGATAATTGTGAACGCTAACCGCTACTTGGTTTCAGTTGCTTTCAAATATCTTAAGGCATTTGAAGTGTGTTAAAGATACGAACAATTTGTGGCCAAAAGGAATAGCAGCTTAAGTTATTTAAAAAAAAAGAAGAATATCTGGCCATATACCAGCGCTTATGTTATTCGTTTAATCAAATATTTAAATTTTTTTCGAAAATCAATTGTAGTTGAAGTCCATCGATTATTTGAATATTCGCATTTGTTGATAAGCGATGGTCCGAATAGTGCAAGCCCGAAGACGGTAGACAAAACTGGTATTTTCGTAGTTTTAATCGATAATTTTTTACAGCTATTTACATTGCACATTTGCTTTGCTGAAGTCGTCTTCGAGGGTGAACGATGCAATATCTATCGAGACTGAATTTACTGACGACTAGTATCTATTTTTTTAAAACATTCCCACAAATTTTTATAAGAACTTATTTTCAGACTGTATGGAGTTTCTTTTACGAGGAAAGTGGGAAATGTTTTCTATTTATTTTAAGACGATTTTATGCACTTTAGGTCAGTCGACTGCAGTGGTTTAGTGATGAGCAATGCGTGCTAAAATGCGTAGGGTTATGGACTGCGATCTTGGCGATACCTACACTCAAAACTATCGGGAAAAATATTTAATATCAATTTCCTTCTGTCAGGGAATGTCAACATTTTCGAGTTTTTATTTTGCTGACATGAAAATCCGGCGTCTTAGAAAAACTTGAAGACATCTTCAATTATTGAACAAACATTTCTACGCATACCAAAATTTTTAAATAAATTATTTTTTATTTTTTGCTACAAGAGAAAATTAATCCAAGTGAACGCGGTGGCCGGTGCCGTGGTTTAGACTTTTGTTTACCACTAATCTAAGTACGGGGGTTGCCTTTTATGTTGCGGGATCAGCAAATAAAAACACGTATAATACATAAAAATCGCTTAATTGTTTCTCAAAACATTCTCAATTACGATCTTTACACTTTTACATGCGTTTGAACCAATTTGAACCAATAATTAATGCACTTTTGCCACTTTGATTGAGGTATCTCCAAAATATGCATTCTGAATGCATCAAACAGCTCGTCGGCAGTCACAAAACATTGAACTCTCAGTTTATTATTTACGTACGGGCATAAAAAGTAGTATTTCGGTATCAAGTCAGGACTGTACGGTAGATAATTCATCAAATCGATGTTTTGAGTACTCAAGAATGCAATTGTTTCAGTCGACGGGTAAGAGTTCGCATAGTCGTGGTGAAGAGTTCTGCATTGTGCCAGTGCTGCGCTTGCGACGTGTTCAGTTTTTCTAAAAAAAATAGGCAACCAGCTCATATATATAAACGTCTGCTATTTGCTTTCCATGCATAAGTCCACGAATCATCACGAAGTTCTAGACGTTTTTCGGAACACCGCTATCGTTTTTTACGACTAATCGACACGAGCTTTTTTTGAGTGATTGACAAATTGTGTGGAATCCAACGCGAACAAAATTTACAGCAGTCAAATGTATATGAAATATTAAATGTATCCTGGCCTATGGCTTTCTCAATCTAACGATTGATCACATGACGATCTTGCTATATAAGTTTCTGAACAACGTCAATAGTTTCCGGAACAACAATTGATTTTGGACGACCTTCACGAAATTCGTGTTGAAGTGATCTACGTCCTCGATTGAATTCACCATACCATCAATAAACACTGGTCCTCGATGGAGCTTTATCGCCGAAAGTTGAATTAAGTTCGTCAATGCACTGTTGCCCAGTTAATCCACGTCGACATCTAAATATGAAAGGCAGCCCTCGTATAAAAAACGTAAATAATGTAAACGTTTCTTATGACTCATGCTTTGCTATGAGAGAGATCAAAGAGTTTCTTTCTTTACTCTTATGGCATAATTGTACATACTTAAAATCGTGCACTTAACTAGATTTTCTATGTTAAGTTGAAGTAACGTATGCACTAGCAATAGTCATCTTCACAGACGGCTCGAAGCTCGATGGGAGGGTGGGTTGCGGAATTTATTCTCCCTTGCTTTCGGTAAGCATGAGTATGAGAATACCGGATCATGGAGGCCTCGGAATGGCAGCAAGGTAATCAGTAACAATCTACTCCGATAGTCAGGCTGCAACCAGATCTCTTCAATGTAACGGTACCACGTCAAAAGTGACCATAAACTGTAGAAACACTCTCAACAAACTCTCAACGGAGTACAGTACTGTCGTGGCCTGAATACTTGGATACGGGGACATTCCTTGCAATTGCATGGCAGGTGAACTCGCAAGAGGAGGAACCCTTCTATCTACGATAAAACACGCACATGATGCGGGTTTACCTCTGTCACGGATAAGCACATGCTTAAACTGTCCTTCTTCAGGGAAGCTGACTCACGATGGTTGAACGAGATCACGTGTAACTGGACAAGACAGCTATGGCCGAAATTGGACGCCAAAAAATCTAAACATCTTATCCATCTGGACCGGTTCTCCATTAGCTTAGCGTGGGGTATAATATATGGACACTGTTCAATGGGGCTTCACGGGATTAGAATGGGCTTTTACTCTAACGATTTCTGCCGCGTCTGTAGGGACGAAAGAGAGGAGGAAACCATCGAGCACTACCTCTGCCACTGTCCAGACTTGGCTGGGATTCACTTCCTCGACTGTCTCGCTGAGTTGGCCTCAGTGAACATTGGAAATATTGTCGCCTTTATAAAGCACACTAAATGGTTCGATCATTTGAGAAGGTGAAGGCAGGAGCCTCAGCGGTATCACAATGGGCGTATTGGCCTAAGTGTGCTGGAATTTGACCAGTTTTATGTTGTTCAAGCTTATGTCAGTATGCCTTTGTAAAGTAAGCAATTCGGCAAAAAAAAATTTTGAATTATTTTCTTCTTCTCTATTTTTTTTTAAATACTGTTATGATATATACCCTGCAAGACTGCACGTGTAAAATATAAATGGAAACCCATTACTCGCTGGTACGTCTACAGAGCATTCTACATAAAGCAACGTTAGCAATCACGTATAAATGAAATCTTGCGAAATTAGCTAAAAATTTAATAAGGCACTTTCATTTTGAGAACAAGCGCTAATAATGATGATTGTTGTAATTCTAAGAAATAGTAAACATATTAATGACTTACTTAAATGGACCGATTAATAAAAATAATAATTATTTTAATCGATTTATGCCGCTCTATGTTGATATTTACGTATAATCAATAATTTTTAATTCAAATATATATTGTATAATATAATTGGCACTTTGTAACCGCTGAAACGATTTCTCGGCCGAGCCCCTCTTCCAATTTGTAGATTTTAGGTTTTGCTGTTTTTTCACCAACTGGAGGGATCTACAGTCTATACTTAACCGCCTCCAAACGGCTGATGGGGTTTTTTATGTTAGATATTCACGCGGAGAGCGGCGACCGCAATTAGAAAATTTAACTTAATTTTTTTTTTAACTATTTTCCTATAACTTTTGAATGTTGGTGGGATATATACCCGAGCCTTCCGCATGTCAGTACACAATGCTAACCACTCGGCTGCCATTACGGCCACTACATATATGCAAATTGGCTAATTAAAATAATGTAGTAAATGGGAAAATAGAGTATGTATATAGAATATAATTACATTGTTTACTAATTCTTTTAATTTATTTATTTCCACTCGAACTACACAATGTGCCCGTAATAATAGATGATTAGCTACTTACCACACATTTAAAAAATTGCTCTTTTCGTATCAATGGGTCAACACCTTTTTTCGATCTAATCAATAGATAAATCCTCTTTATCTCTGGACAACTGCGCAACAGCTTCTCTACCAAGACTTTTCCCATAAAACCAGTAGCACCAGTTATAAGTATACACTTTCCCGCATACCATTGGGCGATTTGCGATTTGGCATGTTTATCCACAGTTGTAAGCAGCTCCATTGTGCGAAAATTTATGTTTCTGCAAGAGAATGTTACATTTATTTATACACATGATACAAATAATTAAAAATAAGATTAAAAGCCAAAGATAAATTTTAGATTAATAACGAAAAGTGTACAAGAGGAAATTAACTTTTGTTTCATTGGCGCTTTGTAACCGCTGAAGCGATTTTCGGCCGAGCTCCTCCTCCCGGTTGAGGTTTTGCGCTTTGATGTTTTTCCAACAAATGGAGGGACGTACAGCTTATAATGATGATTTTTTAATGAGGAGCTTTATTTTATGTCAGAAATACACTCAGAGGATCAGAAAATTTAGCTTAATTTCTTTTTAATTTATTTTCTATTTCATTTTGGATGTTAGTATGACACGAAGATTTGAACACGAGGCTTTCGAATGGCTACCGCAGCCGCCAAATTGATTTTCTCAATTTTTATATATAAATGCTAGCTAACGGCGCTATCTACTAGGACACTTTCATTAATTTAAATTAAATTAATTTTGTTTATTTTATTTCAAACCATTTCACTGCATACAATTTAATATTATTTAACTGAATCGAAATTAATTTTGCTCTATTTTATTTTACTTTACTAATTTTTTTTTTACTTTATTTCAATTTATATATATTTTTCAATTTCATTGTATTTTTTTATTTTATATTTTAAATCATTTTAGTTTATTTTATTTCATTTCATTTTAATATATTATTTTTTATTTTTTTACATCTTTTTTTATTTTGTCTTATTTTTTTATTTTTTTTTTTTATTTATTTTGCTCTACTTTCCTTAACTTAATTTAATTAATTTATTTTTTGAATTTCATTTTGTCTAAGCTTATTATATTGTATTTTGTTTTATTTTATTTTACTTTATTTCATTTTATTTTGTTATATCTTTTTTAATTTATATTATTTTATATAAAATAAAATTAAATGGGTTATAATATTTTAACATACTTTTTTTATTTTATTTGATTTAATTATATTTCCTTTCATTTTATTTTATATTATATTGCTTTATTTCAGTTTATTTTATTTAATTTAATTTTATATTATTTATTTTAATCTTATCCATTTAATTTAATTTTTTTATATTGTTTTATAATATTTTATTTTATTTTATTGTTTTTATTTTAAATCATTTCATTCCACAAAATAATATTATTTAATTTAACTTACGTTTGCTTTGCTTTATCTTATTTTATTTTATTTTAATTTATATTATCAGGTATACAACTTTGCTTCCGCCGTTTTTTTTCTAAAATTAAAAGCTTTTTTACGAAAAAGACCTTACAGATATATTATTCGAAGTATTGTCCTTCGCTAGCGACAACTTTCTCCCACCTTTCCGGCAATTTTCGGACCCCGGCTCGAAAAAATGTGTCCTCTTTTGACGCTATCCATGAAGGGATCCATTTTTCCAATTCTTCGAATGATTTAAAATGTTGATCTGCCAGGCCGTGTGCCATCGAACGGAATAGGTGGAAGTCAGAAGGGGCGACATCTGGGAAATGCGGCGGGTGGTGCTAGACTTCCCATTTCAGCGTTTCCAGGTACTTTTTGACCACTTTTGCGACGTGAGGCCGAGCATTTCTTTTAGCGCGCGACTAAGGCGCATCAATAGCGCTCGGTAGCGATCTGCAGTGATGATTTCACCCGGTTTTAAGAGCTCGTAGTAAATCACACCGATTCTCTAATTCTCTTTCACCACCATGTTTGTCTTCGACATCGAAATCACCATTTTTAAAACGTTGAAACCACTCCCGACAAGTTCTTTCACTCAGAGCAGCATCACCGTAAGTTTCTGAGAGCATTCGATGCGCTTCAGCTGCATTTTTTTTTTCCGAATTGTAACAGAAAAGTAAAACTTCCCGCAAATGGCGAGAATTAGGCACATAAACGGACATTTTCGAGCGTGAATAATACGAAAATAAGAACAACTGTCACTGAAACGGCGATGACAATTCGTTAGGCACTGTCCACAATCACTTTAAAGTCATTATCATCTATGTATTTCAACCAGCCTCGGCCGGTACAGCCACCTATCGGAAAACGGCGGAAGCAAAGTTGTACACCTGATACTATTCTTTATTTCATCTTATTTAATTTACTCTTGTTTTATTTTATATTATTTTATTTTATTTTAATTGTATTGTTTTCTATTTTATTTTTTTATTTTATTTCATTTCATTTTATAAAATTTATTATTATTTAGTTTCATTTATCTATTTTATTTTATTTTTTTATTTTGTTTTATTTTTCTTATTTTACTATTCTTTAATTTTATTTATTTTAAGTTAGTTTAATTATATTCTTTTTATTTTATTTTATTTTTTATTTTTCTATATTATAATGGTATTTTTAATATTGGAAGATTTCCTTTTCCATCGTTTTAGTAAACACAAATACACATAGCTGCCCACATATGGAAGCATTTGCAAATTTCCATATGTTTAATAAACACTTCTTGCTATTTAGTTCAAATAGGCACACATCTGTGTTGCAAATAAGTGGCAATAAATTCAGTAAAGTATTTGTTATCGTTGCACAACAAAATTTATGCTCGTTGTCTTGTTAATAATTAGAAATGATGCAATATTCGTATTTCAAAGTAGTTTTTTTTATTCTTTAATGAATTGACTATTTGACTCTTGTACCAAGTGGACAGAAGTGTTGGCTAAAATGCTAAGCGTCTTACTTTGGTGAAGGCATATGTAAGTCCATTAACTTCTTTTAATGGAAACAAAAGACTTAAGAAACATACTCGACACTTAGCAAACAATATTTTTGGCTGAATACCAAAGAAACAACGCCAACATTTAGAACTCGCCAGGTGTTCGAGTAAATCAGTTTCGTCGAAATATATAATACAAAATGGTTTTGAATCGAATATAAGAGAATTTAAAAAACTCGTAACACTCGACTCGTTAACGAGAGCTGACCCTCTAGGCGCTTGAATTAACCGAATTATTGTCGGAAAGTATTATCTTGATAATTCTATTCTTCTCATTAGCTCCATGTAATCATTAAATTCATAAATTAATATTTATCTCAGAATTTTTGATTAAAAAATTAAATATTTTGTATTTAAATTAAAACAAAATAATTCAATATTCATTACCACATGAAACATAGAACAAATTGAATTTAAATAAAATATATTACAAATTATTACATAGTGAATGTAGATGAAGTTTTGTGTACAAAATACACATAAGAGTACATATGTATATATTGTACTTCGACTTTACTGTAGAAGACACTGTTGTAACATTTAACTTTCAGCAGAATTTTCAAAAATCGTTAATAAACTTAAAATTATTACAAAATGGCAATAAAAAAAGCTTCGGCAACAGTGTGTGTGAACAAATGTATATTTTGAAATTCCTAAACATTATAAAATATATAAATAAATTAGTATTAAGCTGGTCCTAAACTCATTTGTCTTGTTAACCCCCAAAATAAAAAAGCGCGAATTGGCTGAATTTTCGAAGAGCTTATTATTTGAAGCTATCAATACAGCTTTGAACATTTATATCCATGTGTAGATCCATTTTATGTAATAGTACTATATTTTTTTTGAAGACAAAAATTTCCCTAATTTACAGTTATATTATATAAAGCAATCATGATTCATTTAACAGCTTATGCAGAACGAATTTCAGCGCATTTTGGAAGGCTTAACAGAGTAAAATAAGGGGTTTTCAATAAGAGGCGTTATTTTAAGGTAAATAAAAATATTTACAAATTCCTATATGAAATTTCGACCAACAATATTAAATATATAAAATACAATCCAGCCTTTTTATTTTATTATAACATCATTAATTTAAAAAAAAAGTCCCTTTTAATTAAAAAATACTTTTTTCTAATTTATATAGTTTTTGTACTTAAGTTGCACACACACATTTCTTAAATAAAAGTTCTATATTTTTTCGCACTTCTATGTTTCTCATTCACCCTAACATGCAATAAGATGTTATTACAACAAATTAGCACTTTTGCTACATCACACGCAATATTTTATCATACGCGTTTATAACGTACATAAATATATATAATATTTTCTGTAAGCTCGAGTTTGTGCCGACAGCTGGGTTTTATTTTTAATTTTCTCAACTATTACGAAACTATGTTAGAAGTGCATACTAATTTGTTACATTTTTAGTTACATATCTGTACATATCCCAGTAAGCCGTAAGTGCCAAAAAATACTTTTAAGAACTTCTTTTCAAAGCCTTCATGCTCATCGCCAGCACATAAAGTAATCATAATAATCCGAAAACCATTGGGAAATAGGGTATTTTTCTTTCATTTTATCTGCTCGTGATGAGCATGACAGCTTGCACACACACACACACACACACACATATATATATATATATATATATATATATATAATTGGCATTTTGTAATCGCTCCTTCTTGAATTTTGGTGTGCGCCTTTATCTTTTTTCAGCAAATGGAGGGAATTACAATTTATTCTAAGCCCCCTCCGAATGGATTTTTGTGAAAAGCCTTGATTCTCATGTCAGAAATATGCTCGGAGGACTTGACGTTCCCTTCCGACCTGTGACCTAAATAAGAAAAATTATTTTTTATAATTTTGGATGTTGCTCGAAACAGAATTCCATCCCGAGTTTTAGTACGAAATGAGTCTTTACTGGGTTGTTTTCGAATTCCGAGTTTCTGATAGAAAAGGGTTTTTGATTTTCAAACTAATTTTTCTTGCTAATATATTTGAAGACAAAAAGTTCTCTAATTTACAGTTATATTATATAAAGCAATAATGTTTCATTTAAGAGCTTATGCAGAACAAATTACAGCGCATCTCGGAAGACTTAATGATATTCAGAAAACACCTAAATATTACGAGTCTTAACAGAGTAAAAAAGCGTTCCGAAAATAAATATAACTATACAAAGGATTAAAGAGGTGTCATTTTGAGCAGCCTGATATTCCGGCAGATGTCATGACTCCGTCAATAAGCAAAACTGTCGCAACTGAGACTCGGAAAACTCATCCTCAAAATGTTACTGTTTGGGTGACCTGTCGAGGTAATTGGACTTTAATTTTTACAAAAATTAATATCTTGCGCTATCGAGATTATAATAATGATTTTTTAGTGCCCGAATTAGATGGTATTGATCTGGACAAGGTTTACTTTCAACAATACCTTGACTTTCAAGGGAAAAGTTTTTAAATGCCAAGATAACATCTCTTATTGGAAAATCCGTTATATTATTTGGGGGAAAAATGTTTTGTCTAATGCTATTTTTCCCCTCATTTAATTTACCTTTCATGTCCATAAAATGCTTTATTAACTTTTATCCGAAGTATGTAAGTACCAGAAGGAGAAGAGATAGTCCCATTTAAATTTCATATTGATCGAGTCAGAATGACGAACTGAGTTGAGTAAGCCATGTCCGTCTGTCCGTTTTGGCTGAAATAACTTAAAAGCAGAGTTTTTGAGAATTTTTAGCTAAAATTGGTATATTTAAACGATCATTGGTCAGAACCGTATTGGATCGCTATGTCCGACCAATTTTTTAGATATGAGATTTTGTGTTCTAAATTTATAAAAAAAAAGATCTAAGAGCGTGAAGTGGGCTTTTGAATAAAAACGTCAAAAGGTCATCTCGGACGACTATATCATATAGCAATCCGGGAAAAATGCATCTAAGAACATGAAACTTTGCATTCTATACCCGAATAAACAAACAAACACTGTCAGCGAACGTCATCGAAATCGGAGTACTTTATCATATGACCCTCATCCAACCAATTTTTTAGAAATGAGAAATAATTTCTAAACCCAACATAAATTTCATATTGTCATGACAGGTTCAAAGACTTTGACATGACTGAAGACAACTTCTTTCTTATTTATTACTCTTTTAGCACTCCATTAATGGTCATTTTCGTGACTGCAAAGAAAAAATTCTCTACACGAAATCGTTTCTTCAATGAGCTCCTAAGATGGTTGGTTGGGATATTTTTATAACAACAAACATCGTAAATTTATGTCAATTGGAAGTCGTATTAATAATAGAATATACTTTTATGTATTATTTATTTTTTAAATGCATGCTTATAGTATTCTTCTGTAATTGTCTGAAACTTTACATATAATTTACTAGATTTCCTAGTTAATTTTAGAATTATTTTCAATCTGAGTTTTCATATTATTTCATTATTTGCAGCAAACAATAAATTTCAAAAATCTCGGCTAAAACTTATATCAAGCCCTTGCGAAGTGCAATGAATTTCGTAGCTTACATACAGGCAAGTGCAAATTTTTAAAATAACAATAACTCATGCGAAGTTGCCAAATTCATATGTATACATACACAAATAGCTAATTTTATGTACGTAAACACATGCATTTACTGCGAATTAGTAAACAAATAGATATGTTTTATTTTCGGTCGTTCAAATTCACTTTTTTTATAACTTTTTAACTTATTTTCAATGGCAGTTAAAGTAAACAGAATTTTTTTTTTTCAAACCAAATTATACTTTTGACCGTTCTGCAGTACTCAATCACTACATAAATTTTATTTTTTAATTTAATATTATTATTATATTTGATTTCATACGGAAACCAGTTTGCATGAGCGATTAGAATTTGCTGAAAGTAATTTAAAGGATATTTACAGTCCTAAATTTTGTTACCAGCGAAATAGGAGGTAACAAACATATCTGCTCTTTGATTTTATGTCGTTTGAGAAAAAAGAAAAAGACAAAATGGGTAGGCATATTTTAGGCCTGAAATTCATTGTAGATGAAGAAAAAAGTACCAAAAGCCGTATTTTAAGCAGTTTTCGAGACTAAAAAATAGCCCTTTAATTTGTAAGATAACGTTTTCATTCAGCTTTTTTTGTTATCCAGGCATATTTTCCATAATTAGGTTCAAATATTTATGATTTAATAAACAAATTAATAAAACTTTTTAATTTTTTTGTGCACCGTCTTCCATTTCGAAGTGAATATTTTTCTTTTTACTTTATCAACTGGCAAATGTAATTTGACATGGACGAAAAAAGCAATGCTGCCAAATTTTTTTCAAACATTGTAACCAGTTCGCCGGAATACCAAATTCAATTTCGGGTGTTAAAGAAAAGTAACAAAATTTACTTTACCGGTAACAGTGAGAATAGGCCTGTTAATATGGCTTAGAGCATAAGTCGACTAAGTTTTGTCTGAGCGTAAACTTAATTCTAACGTTATTAGCGCTGTTCGGTGAGAAATATAAGTAATGTTGCAATTAGTCAAAAACATAGCAACTCAGCAGCCTCTCTGAGAAGTTACCGCTACTTGGCGATGTCATTACTGCTGATTTCTTTCTATTGTACAAGTCGAGTGAGAGGTGTGTAAAATGATTAGTCGGGCTATAAGAGTTAACCAGTAATAGATATTTAGAGAGTAAGAAGTCTGCTGAAAGGATGAAAATTTACGACAAATACTAGTATAAAAATGAAATAACACAGATTAATATTATTAAAATTCATTATAAAAATTTCATGGACAAATCATCTTGATACCCCTAAGTTTACGTCACTAAGCTAAACTATTGCAACTGCGGCTCGAAAAATCCAATATTTATTGTTTTAAAGCTTCACCATTCTCAGCGTGTAACTGTTTGGTGCGACTTATGAAAAAGAATGGATTGCACTATAGATGGAAGATGATTAAAGACTTTTTATGGTCACAATTGAAGTGTATTGATCCGGACAGAATTTACTTTCAACAATGGGGCGTTAGGTGCGACGCAAGCAATGAAACCATCGACCTTTAAGGAAAAGTTTTTTGAATAACAAAATAACATCTCTTCTTCTTCGTTTTAATTTTAAGTAGTTTTCATTTTGTTGAGAAAAATGCAAAACATACGTATTATCACAAATCAGCTGTTTTTCCAGCAAGAATTAGAAATTTCCCTTCTAAACTAAATGTCAAAATTGCGCTCATTTTTTGCAAATTTTAAGGAGTTTTTGCCTCACCGAAGGTGATTCAGTAAAAAATGGTCACTATTGTTACTGCCCACAAGCTCTACGAGCAGGACATTGTTTTTAACGTTTAAAAAAAAACAAGAACAAAAAAAAAATGATATGCAAAATAGCTTTCAGGATTTATAATTAACATTTGTATGATAATTATATAGAATTGTTTATTTAGATTTATTTCACTTTGTCTTCTTATTTAACAATTAAGAATTATCTGAAAGAAATGTGGTTTTTTATATTTTATTTTACACCTTTGATTCACTTTTATTTTCACGTTTACCACAATTGAGTTTTATTACTAAAAAGTTCTTTTCATTAACACTCTTCTATTAATTCATTTATAAACAAAATAAATCATACATATTTACATACATATCTATATATATATATCACTCACTTCGTTGGCGTAATTTTCGTGACTGACTTTGGCTTGAAACTTTGTTTAGAATATTTGTTTATTTATTTATTTTTGTTTTGTTGTTGTTTTACCGTGCAGCAGCATCGACTGAAACTAAACAAAAATTCCAAAAAAAAAACAAAAATTTTTTTTCAACTCCGATTGCACGCAATTGGCGACTGGGAAACTTCAGTAAACAAACACAACGTTTATTTCATATATATTTTTTCAATATGTATATGTATTTGTAGCAATGTACTTGTTTCAACGAGTATTTGTGGTATTTCCAATAACAGTGCACTGCGAGCTTTAGCTTTTCAAACTATGGAGCGTTTGTTGTGGTTTTCGCCTGAAGTCACAGCGCGAACTAAAGTGAATATCATGAAAAGATAGGAAATTATATGAATGCCGTAGTAAAGGAGTCTAAATAAACCGTATGAAGTAAATACATACTCGCACATACATACATACATATGTACATATTACAGTAAGTAGTTAATACAACTTGTGGCAAGAAAAACAAGAATCAGTAAATAAAGAAGCATCTTTCGAGGCGAATATGCTGAGTGCCAAAACAATTTGAGTTGGTGTGTCGCCGCTTATACGAATATCTACATATGTACATATGTACATACGAGTATGTATGTGCGGAGTCTGTTAAAAAAACAAAATAAGATTTGTTAGCCCTTACATACTAGTGTGCATATGTACATATGTATGCATGTAATTCGTAATGCTTGCATGGGCTGTACTCGTATGACTTGCAAAATCACAAAAATATACTTTGACTCGATTTAGAGTGTCATAAATACTAATTAAAGATTGTAAACATTTGTCAACGTGTGTACATTTCAATAGCATGAGAATTATGTTGACCTTCTTGGCCTACCCATGAATAAATCAGTTTGGCTGCTCAGCTTAAAATTGAAATATAATTTATACAAAATTATGTAATGCCTTAAGAACACTTCTTAATTGTCTGATATTTAATGTGATTTGGTAATATGCAACTATTATGCAATTCATATCAATATTGTAATGAAAACGCCTTCGAATACGCTTATGCATAAGTACATAATTACCAAAGGTTAGTTACCATTTACATATTTACATATACATATGATTGTACTTGAGAGTAATATTGATATAAGTTGTTTGTAATTGTTGTTGTTTTTTTTTGTACATTAGCCTTTTTAGGCACCCACGATACATACATATAAAAATGCTTTATTTTTTTTTTAATGAAAAATATTTTAAGTATTTCTAGCTACGATTGTGGGCTCCAGGGTATTTGCTTAGATTTTTAGTTCAGAAAGGGTGTTCTTTAAACTTGTGGTTTTCAACGAGGCAATTCGTTTTTCAAACTTGATCATTTTGGCAACTGTTACTGGCTTTAAACACAGTTTGGCATGCCACTTTTACTATAGTCGCTAATGTCCATCTTGAGAGACGGCATACTCTGTACAACGAAGACGCTTTTGCTGCTGTGAAGCAGTTATAGAGGAATCCCCGAATGAGTTCATTCGCTATTGTGCGCAAAAATTGCGGCTGTACCTTTTTTGGACAGTTTTTGCGAAAAGGCCCTGGTTTGCGGGCTTACAAAATCCAGCTAGAGGAACAATTGAAGCCGATGAATGAACCCAAAACGAGCTGACCACCAATCCTAATTTTCACAAGAACATTTAGAAACTAAGTTGTCGCTTTTGGAGAGGCACAGGAGAGGCTCTCTCCTCCAGCAGCAGGCGTTTGTTATTGACATCTGAGTATTGAAAGCCAGGAGCTATCAATCAATTCTTCCCAATACTTCAGTGCACGACGACTATAGCTACAACACCTGAATTTTTAAGTTACCCTTCTCACCAGCTGGCCGAAGGAGTACTGGCTCGAACTCAATATGAAAGTCCTTGACTTAGAAATTCCGATAACTAGCAATCGAAAGTTATTGGGAGTCACATTCGACAGACAGAATTCAACTTCGTATAAGACTGCAATTCCCAAAATATATAGAGCCGCAAAAAATCCTCAGATTGTTTGCCGGCAGTATCTCGAGAAGAGACAAATAAATGGTGCTCACAACACAAAATGCAATTGGCCGACCGGTCATAAATAATTCTGCTCCGATTTGGATGCCAAAGGCGAGAGACGCTGATTAAGAAGCTATAAGCCTGCTAAAGCACCTTGACAGGAAACCACCTGATGTCGCTATAGCATCATTTACTCAGCAAAGCATCTATATTACTAGCGCAAGCTATATCTAGTGGCATGCTACCGTCAGGAGGAGCCCAACAGACATTTACTTGAGTCTGAACATTCACGTAGGCACGTCACGCAGGTAGTACCCATCTACACAGACTACATTCAGCACCATATATAAAAAACGCTGGACAGGACGCCGTACCGACAGGCTTTAAACGTTATTCATCGAGAGTCTGTCAAGAGCTTCTTGAAGTCACTTTCAGTGAACTATATTCCAGGAATACAATCACCATATATAAAAGATGTAGAGCTCGAGCTGCCTCGAGAAACTCAAGCAATACTAAGATCTAGATATTGTAGTCGACTTGATCCTGCATGCAATAAGACCCCGCACCATACTAACCACCTCTTCGCAAGCCCCTTAAAGCCTACTCAACTAATCCTCCTTTCCCTCTGGTCTGAACAAGAGCTTATTTTCTGGACTTCCCGTTTGCTAGCCCCTAAGCGGGGAAAATTTGATTTTCATAAAAAAAAAAATACTGGTGTTTTTATTTGATCTTTAGATTCTACATGGACGAACCTCACAAGTTTTAGCGGGAAAACATCTTTTGACTTTTTTTCTTCGCGATTGTCTTCTGCTTGGCTCCAGTTGGAAATACCAAATGAAAACAGATCGCCCTCCCCCTGATCTTTTCAACGGAGGTGAGACCTTTCTACAGCCCATCGTTCCATCAGTGTTTTGGGGAATCGGAAAATTTTTTTGTTTATATCTCTCTTGAAAAAGCGTTTAGCATTGTAGAATATAGAAAGAAAAACTATTAATGTGTTTTAAGTTTCATAATAAATAGACTTAATGCGGAACAAGGTTTGCCAGTCGTGTAAATTTTTTACCAAAACATTGTTTCGGTTCGCGTGACATAATCGTCCAAAAGAATTGGAAATTTAAGCAACCATCGATCGGACCACAGTGCCCACTGTGGAGCAGAGTATCGAAGAAGACCCAAGTTAAGTTCATCTGCCATTACGCTAAACATTTGGTGCTGTGCCCATCCACTTTAGAGAAAGTTTTAAGGAAGGGACTTGGTTTTCAGGCTTACTAAAGCCAAGTATTGAAGCAGAACGACCAAACGAGTGGATCATAAGAAACTTTTGTTCAGTAACGAAGGACACTAATAGTAGAAATTGTCGCCTTTGGAGTGCTAACAATCCACAAGCCAATGTTGAGCCGCCATTCCTCAAAAGCCACTGTTTGGTAAATATGTGTTCTCACAATGAAGACGACCATAATGCCACAGTCGATTGGAGGGCTATAAAACCAATAAAAGGATTGAAGTATGATTGAAGGAAGAAATGCGCATGTCCATCTAGAGCCGTGAAGCTGGGATGTGGCCACCAAGATCTTGCGAATTAACACCTACGAACTAATTGTTATGAGGTTATTTGAAGTAGTTTGTGTACGCAGATAAACCCCAGATGATAGATGCCTTGGAACATAATATTCGGCGCGTTAACACTGACATACATGTATGGCACCAACTATTGCAGAAAGTGGTCGCAAATTGGGCTTCTCGGCTGGAGTTTATTCGAGTAAGCCGCGGCCAGGTCACTTGCCCGAAATCATTTGGCAACCTTTATCTTTACGTACAATATAGGTAATTTTTTCTTCTTCTTGAAACCCACATGTTTATAACTTTGTTTACCTGTACATATGTATTTTAATAACGCCTCTAAAAATGTTTAAGGATAAGGTTACCAACTGGGATTTTTTCTGCAGACTTAAAACAAGTGCCAATAAGTATGTGGTTATATATATGTACATATAGCATGTGCCGTATGTGGTTTATGTAAAGTATAATGTAAACAACTTGTAAATGGGTGACAAAGAAACTGGTTAAGATGATTATTCCTTGCCTTGGCTTGTAAAGAAAACGAAAGTGAAACTCAGCCGGTTATTAAAAGTCGAAATGTTTGTACGCCAACTGACTGGAAAACTTTTTTCTTCTTATTATAAAGCAACAAAAGAATGTCTTTGCTTTAAATAATAAATGTTGATTGTGTACATGAATGAGTGTATATGTACGAGTATATACATGTATACTAACAACAGTAATTGGTACAAAGCGTTAAAGTTCTTGACTAATTCAAATGTGGTAAAAGTGAAAAGTAATTGTTAGTGTACTAAGAAATAATAAGATGTGTACATACATATGTGTGTGTGTGTGTGCATGTGGCAATTTGCAATTTGCTATTTGCTATTTGCTATTTTATGGCTTCAAGAATTATAGTCTAAGCGCAAATAAGCATGGCTAGGAAATAACCAATTAATTTAGTGAATTTTATGCACATAAATACATACATACATATATCTGTTTGCGGAAGTAACATTTATTTGCTAATTTTTTTGATTTTTACATTTGTACAAACAATTTTCGTTTACACCTGCATACATACAATACATATATATATTTGCTTGTATTTATATAAATATACAACATATGCACTATCGCAGCTTACCAAATAACTTTATACATAATCGTAATTATATCATTAACCACTCTTCATGCCATATTAGGTCAAACAGGGACAGAGAAAAAATTTATTTATCTCAAGGCCAACGCGATGTAAAGTATACAACGCATGAAAAAATTCATCGTAAACCTGTTCAGGACTGGTGTAGAGCGCAGGTAGCATGCGAGGAGAAAATTCCGATTACATTTTGGAAGAAGAAACCCTTTATTGAAGTAAAATATTATGGTTTAAATATATATTTTTTTATTATGTGCTTATGTAATCAAAACTTTTACTTCATTAATTTATTTTTGAATGCATTAAAATAAAAATGTTTTTGATAAATCTGCAAATATTGATTCAGCCAACATTTCTTTGAGTCTAAGCTCTGTTCCAACACTTGCTTATGATATACAACAATTAATACAGTCGACTCTCGTTAATGCGAAACTCGAAGACTCTTAAAATCTTTCGAATTATTGAGTGTTCGAAATATCAAATGGTTCAAAATTTCGCATAGTCCCATTTCAGTAGTTAGTTTTTGACGGAAAGTTAAAGAGTTGAATTTTTTAATTTTAATATTTTTCCAAGGTTTATAGAATAAAATGTTACGACAACCGTTGACGTCACCGAATCTACTGCGTCATATATACAATGGGCTTGATACGCTTGATATATATGTCATCAAAAAAAGTAATTTCTTCCATTAAATATACATATGTATGGGATCCTAATAAAATAAACATGGGACAAATTTTCTTATACAGAAGAAAATATAAATTATGCAATTTTTTTTTTTTTGGTAACGCTACCGCACACTGGGAGACAGAGCATCGCGATTTTTTACTATGCGCAAGGTGCAAAGCGCAGCATGTTTCGACACCAAAAGTTAGAGATGCTTGCTATAGAAATTTTTGTTAAAAAATTATATTAACTTTAAAATTCAAAAATTTTTGAAAATTAAATTGGATTTGTTCAACATAATACTGTTCAGGACGTTTTATTTGTGATGGTTATTTATTTAAAAAAATTTCAAATGGAAGGCCATGGAATTTCATAAATGAAAGTTTTATAGATAAAATTATGCAAAATTATTTTAAAATCTTAGACAACCCACAAAATTGCAACAACTTCGTCATTAAACACATGATTTCACTCTTGTCCTAACATTCTATTCTATAAACCTTAATATGTTTGTATGAAAGATTAAAAAGCCTATCAAATATAAAAAAAAACTGACGACTGACCCCGATTAGCCACAATAATTAAACTGCCGAGTATCTCTCACTTCATAACACTGAAAGTTTTTTCTTTGATTTCTTTCGTATTCATTTTTCTGTAAGAAATTGTTGTCTCACCGAAAATGAATGAACAAATTACGACCATAAGAACCATCCTCTGACCCTGAAAAACTTTTTACAGCTCTCAAAAACATAAAGTGATATATTATCATCCGATCCGATGCATGTTAGTCCCAGGAGAAGAAGAGATAGGTACATTAAAATTTATGCCCATCGAGTGAGTAGATTTAGGCATGTCCGTACGCCCGTCTGCTCGTCTGTCTGTTTGTACGCAACTTAGCGAGACATATTGTATATCCAATCACTAAGCACAGAATTGACTGCCGTTGAGTCTAACCCATCCATTAAGGAATGTTTAAAACCCTTGTTGAACACTCCAAATACGTTACGATTTTCCGAAAGCATATTCCCCATTTTCTAGAGTCGATTCTATCTTCCGCACGATGTTATATGTATTATATTTATATAATTGGAGCTTTATAACCACTGAAGCGATTTTCGGCCGACATTATACAATTTAAATATAACAGCAAATATTCGTATTGTTAAACAATATTATTTTTTGTCAACAGCAATGGGAAACTCGAAGCCAGGTATGTATTGGAAAGCGGTGATCGTGAAGTTTATTATGGGTAATCCCACTATCGACGCATTATTATAAGTTTATACATATGTATGTGTAATGTACGTATAATATACATACGTAATAGTTAATTAAACTTTTCAAATAATTTTTCTAAGAATTTAATTGTGGTTACATTATTTTAAATTATTCATTTATAAAAAAGCGCTAAGCGCTCAATAAACCAATCTGTACGTCGGAGTAATTATTTATACGCTTAAATATGCATAGTGTACATATGTATATAATATTATACATTATTGCCACTTTTTAACCGCTTAACTAATTTTCAGGCTGCTTTGCTCCTTGCGTCTCCGAGCATCTTGATGCTTTTGCCACCTCCTCCAATCGAAAAACAAATAGTTTTACGCCGCAGCGAAAGACTGGTGGACATGTGCGCATATGTTAATTTTGAAATTTTAATTGTAATCCGTAAATTGTGGAAAATTTTTAATGTGTAAAAATCCCCCATCCATTTTGTTCTAAAATTTTTTCTTACGTAAGAAAATAAACGCCATAGTTTCCACAAATAAAATACAAGTATTTCGAGTTTGGGGCGTCCGGAAGTGGAAGTTATTAGCATTCCGTACTGTCATTTCAAAGGCCACCGTTCGAGTACTGGTTTCACCAAAATCTAAAATAGAAAATTAATTTTCCTATTACAGTCGCCCCTCGGCAGGGAATGGAAAGCTTTCCTTGTGTATTTCACATAACAAGAAATGACCTATAAATATTTTTGGAGTCCAACACTAGTTTGCTTTCTCTTGATCTCATTCCAGAGTCACTTCGAAGACTACGTATATTTGGAGCTTAACAAAGCTTTTACAGATTTACATTTTGGAAGATCCATTAGATCCCTCGGAAGTTATTTTGGATATGTGGTTTTTAATGAGGCGATACTTTTCCCGAAACTGGTATTTTTTACAGCTGGTAATTAATTTATACTCGGTTTGCCATTTTATAATAAAGAGAATTACTTCGTAACGACGTTTGCAAATCATGCAAATTTATTATAAAAATACTAGTACGATTCGCGCGACGCAACACATCCTGCGTTCAATATTTGGTCGACAATATCCCCCATAGAGTGAGTAATTCGATTCAAAGACGTCGTACAGTGCGCAACGAGGATGATATTGCTGCTCTAGAGCAGAGCGCCTCCTCTTTATGAAAGATTTTGTGGAAAAATCTTAGTTTGTGGTATCGAGTATCAAGCTCAAAACTAGATAGGCACTGATGCCGATTGTCACGCTGTTATATCCTCGAAATGTTACTGTTTGTTGTGCTCTATGGGCAGAGGAAATCATTAATCCATATTTCTTCAAAAATGAAGCCGGGTATAATGATTCAGTCAATGGGGAGCACTATTGAGCCATGATTAACGACTTTTTCGTGCCTGAATTGGAGGAGGTTTATGTGGACGATCTTGGTTCCAACAAGATGGCGCTACATGCCATACAGCTAACGAAACAATCAATTTATTGAAGGACACTTCTGGTGAGCGGACCATATCGCGATGTGGCCTCCAAAGTAGTGCGCTTCAAAATCAATCACTGGACCTTTTTTTTGGGATTATGTGAAGTCGCTTGTCTAAATATTGTACATAGATAAACCCGAGACTATTGACGTCTTGGAAGTGAAAATTTCGCGCGTTACTTGAAAACAACATGTCTACAAGAACACGCTTTATTACACTACATTTTCCTTATCTTTTTTTTTTTTTTTTGTGAACAAACTCTGAAGTGCGTCCTTTGCAAAATTTGTCTAATTTTCTTTTTTTTTTATTGTTGTGTAAAAAATTATTTTTCATATTCTTTAGGAAATCAGTTAAAAGTAAATAATTTTTTGCAGTGTTCAAATTGTTCCGTCAAGTGAAATAAATAAGGTGCAGAATGGACGACAGAGAACCGGATTTAAAATTTTGGACTGAATTCACTTGCACCCACCCCTACTCACAAAAGATGTGTAATGGTTTCTCAAAATTATTCCGTTTCATTTTCGATAATCAGTTGGACGCAGTGGGCACATTTGACACACTCTTACTGTCTTCCTTTCTCCTAATATTCGTGGCGTTTTTGGTCGTATCCATGTTTACCATATTCGAGAAAGATCAAAAGGTATTTAAAAGAAACCCTACATACATATATATATTTTCTTTAATGCATTTAATATATACATATATGTTTTTATATGTGCTCATATGTATGTATTCAACCTTGCTGAATAAACAAAAAGTCATTGCAGCAAATAAAAGACAAAGTCAGACATTCATCTATAGTCATTGCTCAGCTTGCAGCAACATTATGGGCTATAAGAGAAACGAAATTCAAGAGTATCACCCCAGAGGGATACAGACGAATAAAGGAAAATAAAGATGCGATAATGGCTTTGAAAAATCCTTCACCCCCCATAGAGGTAAACATCCCAAAAGAGCCAACTGAAAAACCTAAGGATATGAAGAAGAAATCCATTAGAGGATTCAAACCCTTCAAAAGAGAATTATCACCAACTCAAGTGAAAAGTACACCGTATCCCATTTTAAAACGGCCAAAATTTGTACAAAATAAAAAGGCTAGTAGCCTCTCCAATGTGCAAAGTAAACGATCAAAAAATTTGCGAACTGTAGCCAGCGCTGTGTCGCTCAAAAATCGAGCAGACGTAATAACACCACGATCTATAAGCGAAGGAGTCGAAACTAGAATAAGTGGTGCGGCAAAAGTAACGAAAAAAACTTAGGACGTTTCAAGTTATATAATTTCAAATAACCGTACTGTTTGATTTGAAGGCTTTTAGTAAATGAATAAAACGAAATAAAAATAAATACAACGGTTTCGTTTTGGCGTAATTATTGAGAGAATAGCGTTTGGCCTGTATATCAACATACAAGGTTCCCATCAAAATATAATTTATTGATAATTTTTCACAAAGGCAATTTATTAAAAAAAACAAAGACAGTTTCACTTAAAATATAATTTTTTTTTTAATATTAACTATCTTGCATAAAAAGTTTTTTTTAACTTTTGCTTTATTTTTGCGCTGCCAATTTCTTTTATTAAAAAAAGTTCCCACTTTTTAAAATAAGAAATTATAGCATAAAAAATGCATAAAATTTCATTGTAAACAAATAATAAAAGAAAGGTCAAAAGTAAAAAATAAGGTATACTGGCATGGGCTGGAATCGCGCGATTTGGATTTGGTAATGAAAATCTCTCGATTTTATATGTATGTATATGTACATACATAGGTTCGAACAGCTGAAAGTCAAACAACTGAAATTTCAATAACATATTCGTGTAAAAATATACCAAAATAATTGGGAAAAATATGAGACAGACAAAATATAAGAGATCGCGCGAATCCTTTAGATATTCCAGAATTCCAGAAGCAGCGTAAGTGCATTTGCATGCATATTTAGTTGTTTCGTCCTGCAGGATAAATAAAGAAGCGAACGGCCAAAACGATTTACAGCACATGCTCGTTATAGCTTTTTATTGAAAACTTGTATTTAATTTTTGTACGATAAGTTGATTTTTTTTCGCAACAAATATTTCGATATGTCTGGAACTACGATTAAAAAAATCGAGCAAACTAGTGCCGAAACAAATTGGGAGGAGTGAAAGTGGTCTTTAGTGAAAATTGAGTTTTGTATTTATTCCGGAAACTTCTTTTCTGCCACGAGAACATGTATTCAATGTACAAGGTATTGGACGTGAAACCCATTCTGTAGCGCAATGTTGAGGGAAGATTCTAACTGCAATCGGCTTTACTCCCTTTCGAAAATTAAATAATGAAACAAAGAAAATTAATTTTTCCATTTCCCCTCGCCCTTTTCGCAGGGAATGTCAAGGTAACAAACGGACGGAGATACAAATGTAAATTAAGACACCACCGAATGGATATTTATGAGGAGCTTTTATTTCATGTCATAATGCACTCGTTGGCTTTGACCGCAATACCGAGGGACGACCGCAATCAAAATTTTGGATTAATTTTTTTTTTAAATAAATTTTCCATTATTTTTGGATGTTGGTCGGAAAAGGACTCGAACCGCTGCCTTCCGAATAGCAGTGCGCAGTGCTAACCACTTGCTATCGTGGCTGCCAATAACTTAAAATATTAATGTTCGGTAACCAACGAAGACTAAAAATCAAATATTGCTTTTATAGAGCCATAATCATGTCCTGTATATTAGATATGTAAGTTATTAGAACTGAAGTCGAGTTCCCATTTACTATAGCAATCCTTTCTATTCGTTCTACAGTTTTTTCTATGCTGCTATCGGGATTTTTCGATATTTTTAGGCATTCTGTTCATTTTGTGTATTGACGGTAACTCCGTTATTTTTTGACGTTGAATCGGCAAGACCAAATGACAAGTAAGAATTTGACATTTGCATTTTAGCTTTGCTGTGTCATTTTTAATATTGAGTTTTGTTGCGGTTTAGTATTTATAGAAAATCTTTAATTCGTTTGAAATGGCATCAGAACGTTATAGCTTTTCTCTGACTACATTCAGGTATGATTAAATAAAAATATTTGTTATATTTGATTTATAAGACTTATAATTTTTCAGCCCATCAGGTAAATTGGTGCAATTGGAATATGCTTTGGCAGCAGTTGCTGCTGGTGCAACATCAGTGGGCATAGTGGGTAAATGGCGAAATTTTTTTATAATATTGATTGAAAGCTAACCAGATTTATATTTTTAGCATCGGATGGTGTTGTTATAGCGACTGAAAATAAATACAAGTCACCTTTATATGAAGAGCATAGCGTACATCGTGTTGAGCCGATAACTGACCACATTGGTATGGTATATTCTGGACTTGTGCCAGACTACCGCCCACTACTGAAAAGAGCACGCAAGATGGCCCAACAATACTTCTTGGTTTACAAAGAGCCCATGCCAGTGTCACAACTAGTTCAGCAAGTTGCTAATGTAATGCAGGAGTATACTCAGTCGGGGTAAGATTATATACTTTTTCTTATGTTTATGTTAATTACCATTTATTAATCTTAAAATGCATAGTGGTGTACGACCTTTTGGGGTTTCCTTGTTGATATGTGGTTGGGATTCGGGTAAACCGTATCTTTTTCAATGTGATCCCACCGGAGCATTCTTTGCATGGAAAGCAACTGCCCTAGGTAAAAATGCACAAAGCTGTAAAACTTATATGGAGAAAAGGTAAAGTTGTGCAATTTTAGAAATTTGAAATAAAAGTCAACAAAAAATGTTTTCAGATTTAATTTGCAATCAAATAACTCCGTTTCTCAATCACTGGATGATGCAGTAGTCGACGCCATGCGCACATTAAAAGGTGGATTTGAAGGCGTTATGACTAAAGACAACATTGAAGTAGGAATATGCACAGAAAAGGGATTCCGGCGTCTAACGCCCACAGAGATTGACGATCACTTGTCTAATGCAAACTGAAAAACTTTTTTTATAAAATTTAATTTAGATAACCCAAACACAAATAAACATATATATATGTAGCTGGTTACAATACTTTTTATTTATTTTTTTTTTATTAAATTTAGATTACATGTTAATTTAATCCAATGGTTTCTATAAATCCACAGCATGTGTCTGGATCGAATAGAAATACGTTACAATGTGGCGCTTCCTTTTTCGATACCACTTTGATAATCTCTTGTGCTAAAACACCACCAACTACTGCAGCTGCCGGAGATATTTGTGCAAATACGTTCTCAAAATATGAATCAGATAATGAGTTTGGACTTGTAAGTTCATTTCGTATGCGTTGCAATTCAGCGATATCCGTTTCACGAGTTTTATAGCACGGATCCCGATTGAATGTTTCTCGAAATTCTTGCAGAGTTCGTAGCAAAATTAAAGCCGGTCCCGTACGTTTAAGTTTCTTTTGATATGCTGGTGAATTTATGTCGAAATCTACAACATGACTGAAGGATGGAAAATTCAGGGTACGCTGCACGGCTGCAGTGACCAACTCAGTTTTAACTTTTTCATTTGGTTTTGAAATAACTTTGTGTTTTGCTACGTCTCTGTAAAAGAAAAATAATATTTTAATATCTGATTAAATGTTAATAGCACGGAGTATTACTCGACAAAACTGTGTTCCTGTAGGTCGGCAAAACAGTAGCCAAACATTCCCCAAACGTCTCCCGAAAAAAACTTTACATTTTTTTCACGACATATATTATCCACCCGCAATAATTCTGAGTTGGACGCACCGATTAGTACGACGACGTCGAATTTTTCAAAATAGTCAGCATTTTTGCCAGCAAGTGATTCTGTGTCGGCTGAAATTTCCACCATTGGGTTAAGAGCACGCGCTCTATCTATTGAGGCCTCTGCCCGATTTTGTCCAATCGCGGCGCGCGGCACCAGGAATTGTGCACAAAAGTCTTCTTCAGTAACAATTTTTTCGTCTTGCAACTTAACTGAGTTAACCCCTGAAAGAATTATATTTTTTGTGACTTCTGCGCCAATTCCATTCAATCCCGAAACCAATATTTTTGCGGTTCGTAATCTGATTAAGTAGAAAGTAATATTAGATTATAGATCTTATAATATGTTTTGTATACATACCTTTTCTGCGACTCTAAACCCCAAAGCCGGATTTGTCTGTCGTACAGTTCATTTTCTGCTTCTGTCAATTCGACTCCATTAATATTTTCATTTTTATTCTCTTCCATTATGAAAAACAAAATAGTTGGTACAACTTATTTTATTTAAGTCGTGTACTTTTGAATAAAAAAATAAAATGAAAATTTGCAAATCAAACGCCGATGAACAGTGCTACCAACAGCCAATAGAATAATACAACTAACCTAAAAAAGTTGGCTTTCAAATTATCGGTTAAAGTCGATAGACACGTTAAACTCCTCTTGCTGCTCAATAAAGAATTTCGTAAGTATTTTAGATAATTTTTAGAAAGAACAGTTATTGATTTGTTAATTTAATCATAAAGCATATTTTTTTGTTCCTTTAGATGAATATTCAAAAGATTGTGCGTATGGCGCTATTTCGATATTTATTTTTACTCATCTCTATTTAACCAGGAAGCTCATCAACATAATATCGATTTTCAGTATTTAGCTAGCGAGGCGTGTTTGTCTGTTTCTATAGCGTAAAAGTTTTATTAAATATTTGCAATCATTAATTCGTCAAATAGAAAAATGGTGCGTGGGGCTATGCGCGGTGGTAGACCGATTCGTGGAGGACTCCATCGACCACCTTTTAAAAAGACATTTATTCCCAGACATCCTTTCGATTTAACATTGGTTGCTGAGGTGCTCTTCCCAAAAGTGTCACTGCAAGTAGATGATTCTGCCCTCACAGCAGCACTTCTGAAGCGTAATCAAGATTTAAGTCCTACACCCGCTGAACAAACATCCATTGCCAATTTAGTTACTAAAGTTCAGGCTGTACTCGATAATTTGGTGGTGGCACCCGGCGATTTTAACACCTGTGTAAGATAAATATAAAATAATTATGTACAAATATCAATAAGTTAAATTTATTTTGCAGCAATTAGAAGAAGTGCGCCAAGTGGGATCGTTTAAAAAGGGTACAATGATATCTGGTAATAATGTAGCTGATATTGTTGTCATATTGAAAACTTTACCTACGAAGGAAGCTTGCGAGGCTTTAGCTAAAAAAGTCGAATCCGATCTTAAAAACGCTATGAAAACAGAAGTATTAACCAAAGCTGATCAAATTTATACTACAATACATGATCGGGGATTTGATGTAGCAAACTGGCAAGCGAAAGTACGAATTTTGATTGCAACACTTCCACAGAATTTGCGAAAATTAGAAGCCGATATTCATCTAGACCAAAAGCTTATGCAAGCTCATCTGGCAGCAATTCGCCATACCAGATGGTTTGAAGAAAATGCTCATCACTCTTCAATTAAAGTGCTAATACGCATACTAAAAGATCTCACTAGAAGGTTTGAAGCATTTGGACCGCTTTCACCGTGGATGCTCGATTTGATAGCTCATCTGTCCATAATGAACAATCCTTCACGCCAAGCGTTGCCAATAAATTTAGCATTCAGACGAGTGTTCCAGCTGCTTTCTGCTGGTTTATTTTTGCCCGGATCAGCCGGAATAACTGATCCATGTGAACCAGGTCACATACGGGTACATACTGCAATGACGTTGGAACAACAAGATGTGTGCTGTTTAACAGCTCAAACACTTTTACGTGTTCTTGCTCATGGTGGATACAAGCATATACTCGGACTAGAAGGAAATACAAGTATCGTTCGGGAAATGTCGGTATGGAACGGGGTGGTGGTATCACCATTAGAAGTGGTATATGAAAAGCCTACTGACAAGAAAGATGGTGAGGGAGAGGAAGACATGGAAGCAGTCGAAAATGACGGTGTCGCTGATGATGATCAAGTAGAGTAGAATCTTTAATTAAATATCCTTAAATTAAAAAAACGTAATTTCATATGATCGAATAAAATGTTTATTTGCAGTTATACAGAAATTTTAATTGATTCCTTTGGTATACATTTATGTAGATTAATATAATTTAGTGCTACATATTTATATTCTGATACATTAATGGTGAATCATTATTCACATCGCATAAAAGTGATTTGCCTAAAACGGAATCAAAATATTCTGCAGATATGCCGTTAGGCTCACTTACTTTAATACATATGTCCCTAGATGTTAAAGACACCCCAGCTTTTAAGTTCCTTGCAGCCACTATAGACTTTCCCAACTTCATCTTACATTGCATCTCACTTGGCAATATTTCTCTGATGTTTACATCTTTTAAGGCCATCTCGAGGGCTTTCGTTCTACCAAGTGTATTCAGTATTTGCTCTGTGTTCATAGTGCTAAGCTTTTTCGATTTAACTTCTTTAATTAGGTGCTCAAACTCTTCAGGCTCCAATGAACATTTATGATCCGAGCCCTTCTGATTACTGTCCAAAGTAAAATGGCGTTCTATAATTCTTGCACCCAGTAGAACAGCTGCTTTAGTTATTTCAATACCCTTTTCATGACCAGAATATCCTATAATAACGTTTGGGTATAAATCTTTTAATAGTGTTATAATTTTTAGAGAGCAATCCTCTGGTTCTGTGGGATAAGAAGAGACGCAATGCATTAATGCATAATTGGTTTTATTATTATTGTGCATTATTTCTACAATTTTTTTAATTGTTTCGCTTGTTTGCATTCCTGTAGACACCACCAGTGGAATATCCATTTTAGCTGCTTTTCTCAGGAGTAGAGCATTATTAGCATCTCCCGAACCAATTTTTATAAAAGGTACATTAAGAGTATACAAGAAATTTAACGAATCCTAAAATATATGTATAGTTTTGTGAATAAAATTTTTGAAAAATATATTATATGTGTACATATATAAAGGTACAGCAAGGATATAAGTAAATGAATAAATAAAAACGAAATCAAATTAATTATGTTAATGTGCTTCATTTTCTCGCTACGACTATGATTATTAGATTAATAATAAAAAAAAATAAAAAAAAAATAGGCACCTTCGTACAAAATTGATAAACCTGATATGTATAAATAAAATATATTTGAATTTTTTTATGGAAAATATGTTTGTAACGGATAAACATATGCAGTTTATCGCTTTATATGTTTAAGTGAAGACCACTAATATCTAAAAGTATAATACCTCATCCATTGCCGAAGCCGTGAAATCTATTCCAAGTTGGGTAGCGTATAGTTGTAAGTCCCCGAATTCCTCCTCGTTAAACTCAAGGTATTCCTTATGGTCACCATATGTGCCGCCGAAGGAGTTCTCGGAAGTGTATGGACGATCAAGAGCAGATTTTGTAAATTTTGAAGTTAAATGTGATTTTTGGAATTTCACGCAATCGCAACCAATCCTCTAATGTAACAATGTATGCATTCTTTATTTAAGTTGTATTAATTTGAAAAATATATTAATATATTATGTATATATACATACCTTGGCTTCAAATATCATTTTCTTTGCGGTACTAACATTTCCTTGATGATTTTGACCAATTTCCGCTATTATATATATTACATCTCCTGTAGATAACACATGTTTATTTCCCAGTTTTATATCAGCCATTTCAAATATCTTACTTCTCAGAGTACTTTCTAATGTAAGTATGCGCCCATTCGTTCATTCGAACATAATTATTAATTGAAGCAATTAATTAATTGTTTGATTTCAATAGACCCACAAAGATGCCAGAAAGGAAGGAATTATTTGAACGGTCATGGTTACGGTAATGTTTTAATAAATTCAACGGGAATTATCTAAATTGAATTCGAAATTGGTTATCTAACCGAATAAAGGAAAATGGATAGACTGCAAAGCGAAAATTATTATTTCGATCTTGTTAATGTTTCTGGTAAAGTTTTAATGAGCAAACTTGCAACTTAAATTAGATTAGTATAACGGTAATGTACAACATACACATATGTAGATGGCGCTTAGAGACTGCTTAAGAGAGCTGGCGCAACTAAAATTTAGGAAATTGCAGTCAACTAAACCCCTACTTATCCAAATGCGACCTCGACATAACCAACCGAAGGCCTGCAATTAACGAGGCCACGCTCTTCACTAACCACCTCTTGCCATACCCTGTTTTCCTCGTCCAAACAGTTGGTTTCTTGAACATAGATGACTTCGGTGGTTTAGACTGCTCTCACTTGCTTCTAGGAGAGTTGGATAGCGGCAGCAACAAACACCAACATTAGGAACTTTTTAATATAAAATATATTAAGTAATATATAAGAACGCAGAAGACATTTTTCATGTTAGTGATTAAATTAGAATAACTTGTTCATTGAACACATTTTTAAAATAGGCTATTTAATAAAATTGCAACCCTGTAAATATTTTCATTTCCTTTGTTTCAATCATACTCTTGACATTTTATTGCGCTTGAGCATTTACATATACACACTTGAGGTTAGAATTGAATCGGTTCAATTTTATTTACCGCTTGGAAATTCATACTTATGCCCAGCATCATAAAAAGGTGGAGTATTACCGCACACTATTTTCAACATAGATTCCCCATGAACTCAAGTAAAATACATATATCTTTATATTAGAGACTAGGTTGACAATGAGGACTAAAAAGTAATTCATTCAAAATAAAACATGTGCAGTGCAAAAATTAAAAATTTCACAAACATATGAATATATTAAACACATTACATTACTGTATTTGCTTGAAAATTTTAGTATATATGACATCTATATAGTGAAGTTTGTCAGATTCTATTTTCGTATCACAGTAAAGATTTTTTTCTCCACTTACAATTTTTATTTTAGTTAAACAAAATGTTTGTAGACTAGTCGTGGGATTAAGAAAGTTATCCGCAGGACAGATTCTATACGGATAGTTCGGCCATATTTTATTGTGTCGAACCGTTTCAGATGTTATTGTTCGTGCGCTGGGTTTACTCGGCCCGATTGTCAGTCTTTGTGTGTTCGCTCTTCGATCTTCTGGTAGCTGTGAAAAAATTTATTAAAAATATTTAATATTTAATCAGGGTACACACTTTAGATTTGCCAATAAAAAACGTTAAAATTACAAGTATATACGTTTAATAACGGAAATAGCTCACCAATATGGCTGACGTAATGAACATTGACAGCATAATTTCCCGATTGTTGGAGGTGCGTGGGGCAAGGCCTGGAAAGAATGTACAATTGTCAGAGAGCGAAATTCGTGGCCTGTGTTTAAAGTCGCGCGAGATTTTCCTATCGCAACCCATTTTGTTGGAGTTAGAAGCTCCATTAAAGATATGCGGTGACATTCATGGCCAGTATTACGATTTGCTGCGTCTGTTTGAATATGGTGGCTTCCCACCAGAATCCAACTATTTATTTTTGGGAGACTACGTTGACCGTGGTAAGCAGTCTTTGGAAACTATTTGCTTGCTTTTGGCTTACAAGATTAAATATTCTGAGAATTTCTTCCTGTTGCGCGGAAATCATGAGTGCGCCAGTATCAACCGCATTTATGGATTTTACGATGAATGCAAACGTCGGTATACCATAAAGTTATGGAAAACTTTTACGGACTGTTTTAATTGTTTACCAGTTGCTGCTATTGTTGATGAGAAAATATTTTGCTGCCATGGTGGTCTCAGTCCAGATTTGTCGTCAATGGAACAGATTCGACGTATTATGAGACCAACAGATGTTCCCGATCAAGGTTTGCTTTGCGATTTATTGTGGTCTGATCCAGACAAAGATACCATGGGATGGGGTGAAAATGATCGTGGAGTTAGTTTTACATTCGGCGCTGAAGTGGTTGGTAAATTCCTCCAAAAGCATGATTTCGATTTGATTTGCCGGGCCCATCAAGTGGTCGAAGATGGATACGAGTTTTTCGCCAAAAGGCAATTGGTGACGCTGTTTTCGGCACCCAACTATTGTGGAGAATTTGACAATGCCGGCGCTATGATGTCCGTGGATGACTCTCTGATGTGCTCCTTTCAGATATTGAAACCGGCAGATAAACGTAAAAAATAAGCAACACAAATAGTCGCTGCTGCAAGTGCACTAACAAAAACATCAACAGTAACAAAACATTATAATAATATATGTATGTCTAAACAAGAGTAGAGCAACAACAAACATAAAATGAAATATTTGTTTAAAAAGTTGAGTTGAAAAAAATCAAAATGGAGAGGAATACAACCCGTTTACATACATGGAGCCTAGAGGAAAAAGATTAACAATGAGAGATGAAAGAACAATTAAATTAAACAAACATTTAATTAACAAAAATACCTTTTCTTAAATTTTACTTGAATGTAATACATGTAATTGCATGAATAAATCAACAACAAACGGCACTTCTTACTCATTTGGACCAGGGTATATGTATATCACTCAATTGAATTGATTTAAAGCCTTGTTAGCCATTGAATGGTCAATGATTGTTATTATGTGTATACATTTGTAAAATTTAAATGCCACAAAATATGTGCTAAATTAATATTATTTCTTGATTTTAATTTTGAATTGGATAAATTGTGAATTTTTTTATTTAATTAAGATGGCTGGGAAGAACAATTATAGCCCATATCCAATTTATTAAAAAAAAATCTTAAATTGCTTTAACATCTACATTAAAATAGAGCATGCATATAATTATTGTGATGGAAGCAATCGACTTGACTTGATGGTAATTTCTAAAAACTGATTTATAAATACAAACAAGCTGTTTAACATTGTAGATTACATTATATTTGCGACTAACGTTCTTATTTGTGTAATTTTATATGCCCATTGCTATTAATCCATAATAAATGGTGGAAATTCAATCCATGATAAATTGTAAAGTTAACATTACAAACGATTTATACATTAAAATTTCGATAATTATACACGTTATACTTTGGATTAAGTTAAATATTTTCAGCTAAAATTTCGATCGTCATGAACAATAGCCCCTCATTATAGATACGTTTCATATATATACACGAACATACATATTATTAATATCTGTATTATTAAACATCCTTTGTATGTAGTAATAACTAGATACATTATATAATACTTATTAAAATGAATTAAATAAATCTTTGGCGTAACATGTTTTCTATTTCTTAGAAATTGCTATTACATCGCAGATGTATGTGGTAGCCCTAGAAATTGCTATTACATCGCAGATGTATGTGGTGGCCCTAAGGATTGTTCAGAAGAATATTCTCGCCCAAAATACAATCAGAAATATCTCTACTATGTAATAAAGGTATATACGAAAAAAATAAAGATTATGTATGTATCCATGTAATTTATTACAGCTCAAAAACTCCCTGCTTTAATTCGAGCCTGATTCCTTGAAAATCGACGTCCTTAGTAACATTATAATAAAAAGAATAAATATTGAATCGGATATATGTTTCATATATCATTTTATTAAGAGTGGTATGTGTATATATAATACTTTTTTAACGATATAAGGAACTTATTACTTAGTAGATAAGCAATCAGTGATGGACGGGTCTGAAATTCTAGTTATTGTCAATGTTTTGTGCTATATTTGGCGTCACAACATTTATAGTTTTATCAACGCCAGCAGTATCTACTGCTGTCTCCACTTTTGTTTCAACATTATCGGTTTCAATTGGATCACACGTCCCCAAAGGTTCTATGTTTGATTCGGATTCATTAGCTTCTCCAATTGGTTCAGATTCCACGGACGATTTAGATATATCATTCCCTTGACCCTCTGCTAATTCGCCATGATTTTTCTCTGTATCTTCTCGCGATTCTTGTTGCTCCTTTAGGGCCTCGGGGTTGATACTTTCAATAACACCCCGCAATCGCTGTATTTCGTTGCGAGCTTCTTCAAGTTCACTTTGCAAATATGCCATGCTATCAGCTTGATGCTTGGCATCACCCAGGTTATGGCGTAAATAATCCAAAGGTTTCTCTGGACGTTCTTTGACAAGTCTTACAAAAACTTTGGTCAAAGCTTCTATTACACCGGCTCGCTCAAGATAACGCCGAAATTCATCACGTTTTGGATCTATCGGCTGTGAATCGAAATTTTACAGTTTTTATAGACTTTGAAACAACTTCAAAATACTTACTTTGAATGCCATTTTTGACAATATTGCCAAAAAAATATTCGTAAAAGCAAACGGGACGTAAAATTAAGCAACAGGATTTCAAATCTATAAAAGAGAAATAGAAATACATAAAGACTAAAAATATCGAATAGTCGAATAATCGAATACACATAGGTGTGTTTGTTCATAAATCTTGAAGACTTCGATAAATTTCCGATGAAAATAGAAAAATCGATTTGCCATTATGATTCAGATTTATTTCGCTCAAAACTTTTGTACCGCATATCATGTTAATTCGGTTGATCATTACGGTAACAATTACTTATGCGAGAGCTAATAAAATATAAGGAATTTCCGAAATATCCTTAGTAGTACTAATTTAGAATTATCATTTGTTCATTACAAATCTGTCTAAACTTTGTGGTTACCGTAAGGACCATCCTAGTAGATATTTACCAGAAAACGAACCACGATCCACGCACATCACGAAAGGACTCATCACAGAACAGAACCGCTGAGCAGCACGACATACCCTAAACACGATTTCTAATGATACTTTGCATTAAAACTTTTAGTTTACGGTCTTTCAAAATTAATTAACATATAATTAATATGTATATAGTTCCACAAACGTTTACATACAATATTCAAATCCATTCCCAATATGATTATCATCATAGGAGTTTCCAATACACGTCGGAAAACCCATCTTCAGTGTTTTAGATGTGGGTGTTTTCCGAAACATTTACTTGGCCCATTGTCTCGCCGCAATCAACATCAGCTGGTTCGTCTTTCTGTACTTCCGCCACAAAACCAACCAATCGTAGCCGCTGTCTCGTGATTCACTGAATTAAGTCACCATGTAGCAGGAATTATGAGGTACTTGTGGTATTTTCAACGGAGTGAAGGTCTTCCGCTTCTTCTGCTTCCATCGGCATCGAAACCATTGTAAGCTAGAATGCACTCACCCCAAAGTAGCACCTGCTGGCAAGATAGGTTCTGCGTTGGATTTATAGCCAGACATTTTTGGTAGTTTTATGGCTGTCGAAAGAAACGTGGCGACGACTGCTTGTCGGAAACAGAACTCACAGTGCGATTGTTGCGACAGCTCCATTACTTCCTGTTGAAGGCTGCTTTAAGTTCGACTAATAGAGGATGGATTTTGTTTGACGGTGTGCTTTAGTCTTACACACGCACGTCTTACAGGACGTTATATGTGAATTGGAGTGGTATATACCACGGTAATTTGTCGCAGGCTGTGGAGCTTCCCCTACACACACACACACTTAGGCTCCAATATGCGGGTCTAATTTAAACCGACCAAATTTTGAAAACAAGCTGATGCATTGAAGCTGAAAAAGAGTTAGAAGATCAAGACTCTATTGAAACTATTGATCTACAACCATTTGATGCAAATTCTCATTTGAAAAATTGTCACAAAATAATCTTTAAGACGTCGCTAAAAAGACGACGCACCGCTTGCAAAAGGTGCGTTAAGTTCGAATTCACATAAAGACATGGGGAGACATAATTTTTCTTCCAGCAGCTGCGTTTTTATTCCGGTCTAGAAATCTTCTAGAAGTCGCCATATGTTTTTATTACAGAAAAGCTTTTTCATAAATATGAATGTTGGCAGTTCGTTTATAATATAATTTTTGCAATTAATTAATAGCAGCTTTATGTTGGCGGCATTATTCTTTGGGATGATTTAGCAATATTATGATTAATGTGTTCTTAATCAGCTATATGCGAGGATTCGTCATTTCGATTTATTGAGAAGTTCTTATAGTAATCGTGTTTAACAAAAGGAATGCATTTTAGCTGGTCCAACATGTCTCTCATTTCTTCCTTTGTCACAGTTCTACCTTTGGAATACAATAAAAGCAGATCTATACTTTTCAAATTTTGCGGTCTACCCACTAAAGATTTTCTTATATTAATGGCTTGAAATTCTGTATCCTTATTATAGTCTCATTTGAATTGGTTGAGATAGGGGTTTGGACCTTTCTAACTTTATCCAGCGTATTTTAAGCCAATTTACTGGAAGCCCTGTGACGGTTATTTTTCTGTTAAGGATAGGCTGTTCTAAAGGGTTTGTTGACAAAAAATTTTGGAGAGTCATTTGGATTAGATGAAATTACACTTTTATTTAACATGTTTTCATTATATGGTACCAATCATCTGGTGAAATTTTTTCGCATTGGTGATTTTTTTTTGCACATGACTCAATAATGGCAAAATCTGAGTCATCAGTCAATTAGCTGAGTCTACTTACCGAAATTTTCATATCAAATGATTCAGTTGTGATTTCCGTGATAGCTATGAAGCCTACTGCGAAGAGAGAATGAAACTGCAGAACAGATACAGTACATTGGAGTATGGAGGTAATCGAAATGGCTTCTGAAATAAATTACTTATTATTCAATGCCCAAAACAATTTGCCATTTAACGGTGCTAATATTTATTATTCAGTAAAGTTATTATATATAAAAAGTTATTATATATAAAAGTTATGACTATACCAAAGGCTTTTCAAAAAGTAGAGCAAATCGATGTGTGCACTGAGCGGCTCATATGTCGATTGTTTAACACAACATAATTGATATGGGTGTGTCTTTTTCGTTCTAGAGATAAACAGGTAGGTATGATATGCTTTACTTGTGCTGGAATCTAGTGCTAAAGACAACCTAACCTTATTTCAGCCGCGGCTAAGTCGATCAGCCTCAACCCATTTGGAATGTTTCCCCAGGGAGACTGAATTTTTGGAATTTTCGTTAAAGTCACCAAACACAATTTTGACATTGTGGCAGCGCTCATGAGTACGTCCTGATCTATTTCGAAACCAAAAAAAAAAAATAGAAACCAAGATTTTCACATGCATATACATACATATGCGCATATTGCTGACATTTTTGAAATTTATTTTTCTTTCTATTTGCTTTAAGCCAATTTGTTTCTCTGTATTTGGCAGAAAACGTGACTGCCTTTTAACAAGAAAATTTACGATTTTTTTTTAGACTTTTTCGAGTTTGTTAAATTCGCATAAAAACCATTTCTTTAATTTTCTTTTGCTTTTTGCGATTACATCTACACATTAACTTGTTTCGCTTTGTGCGAGTTTAAAATAAATTAAATTAAAAAAAAAAAACAGAAAAAAGTAGAAAAAATCAGGAAGTAGTTGCAATGTCACTTACAAAAGCTTTCAATATGCGCTACAATGGTCATTGGCCCATGCACAAAGCGCAAAGCGCAAAGCGCACTGTTGTCACTACCACCACCAAGGGACCGCCGCACTGTTTGTGCCTACATTTTGAACTCTTTTCACGAACTGATTCCATCTTAAAACGTCGTAAGCGCCTGCGCGCGCACTCTTATTTAGCACAACTTTAAATGTGAAAAGTAAATAAATTTTACTTATTCAAAAAAAAAAAAAAAACCAAACGCGTTCATTGTTGTTGCTGTTGTTGTAGAAATAAAAAGAAATGTATGCAAAAAGTAAATATTATATGTATGTAAAAAATAAACAACCAAACCTAGCAAAAGCCATGATATTGGCAATCACAACGCGCTGTCATGACCATGGATATTTGTTACCTTTATTGATGGTTGGCCTTTGTGCTTCGAGTCATTTGGAGATTTTTGTAAAATCCATTGTACACAAGTATATTTTATGTACTTATATATAGTAAATGAACATTAATATACAAACATAAGTGCACACAAAGCTGTATAAGTAAGCATACTCGTACAATAAGTACATACTCGTACATACACGCATTACTTGATTATTTATCAGCGTGAAGTATTTTGGTAATTTAGATGGAGATGTTTTGGAAGCAAACCTTGATTCTCGTTCGTACAACACAAATGAATGGCTGATTCATATTTTTGATGTTTAGTAAATTTTTTTTCAAATTTTAATTGTACATATAAATATGTCTTATAAACCATATTTGCTCTTAATCGAATCGCTTATATTTTATGTTAAAAAAAAACAAATGAAATGCAGTTTTTATATCTTATTTTTAGATGTGGCTCAAGCATTTGATTGACTACTTCATAAAGTTAAGCAATCATTCAAGAAAATTTATTATTATTAAAAATAAGTTGATTTTTCTAATTGGATCGCCCCTTGGCGGGGAATGTCAATGAACTTCCGACTGCATTTCTGACATGAATTAAAGGTTCCGCATTAAAATCCTTCAGCTGTTCGGCAGCGGCTTTGTACAAATTGCAGATCCTTTTTTTTTGTTAGAAAAAACTCAGGAAGAAAACCAAAATTGGTCGAGGAGTTCGGCCGAAAATCGCTTCCGCGGAAACAAAACAACACTTTAATATATTATATATAATATAACCAGTACCATGTGGAGTGTTCTTGGTCCAATATTGTACAGACTGTTCCCCACAGACATTTCCACAACTGAAAAATTAATCGCGTCAAATTTCGTGGATGTTACGGCTGATATATGTAAGTCGGCCCATAGTAGCCACAAAAGGGTTAGAACAGCGCCCTAAACTAACTGAAGAATGACTAGAAAAAAAATGGCACATAAAATTTAATGTAATATTTTGCAAACACATCACTTTTACGTCAAAGCCAAAAACCAAGAGCGTGGCCTAAGGCCAAGCTCAACAATGTACCTATTCCGCAAGGCTAATGAATTTAGACGTGCGATTTTCAATGATTTTTTTCGGCTTTGGTGCTTCTGACAGCTGTTACTTGATTTATACTCAGTAAGGTTTGTCATTTTATAATGAATAGACTTACACCAGAACAACTCTTGCAAATCGTGCAAATTTACTATCAAAGTAATTGTTCTGTACAATATTCGGTCGACATAATCGCCTAGCAGAGTCGCTAATTCAAGCAGCCATGCATCAATGTCGCACCACCATTGCACTAGTGGACAATGGGCATCCTCGGAGATGCCAAACAAAGCGCAGCGCAGACAGTATTGATACTATGGAGCGGAATGAGTTCATTCCCCATCCCTCGCAACAATTGGAGTTGTGGCCATACACTTTACGAAAGATTTTGCGAAAGGATATTGGTTTACGAACAAAATGCGACTCGTGCATGTTTTGAAGCCGAATGACTATCAAGCACATCCCCAAAGTGGATGACCACCGATCCCGA